CAAAGTCATAGCAGATAACACAATGTAAGGGTAAGGGTTGTGTGAGAATGAGATCTATAATGTGTGTGTGTGTGTGTGTGTGTGTGTGTGTGTGTGTGTGTGTGTGTGTGTGTGTGTCATGGAACGACGTAAACCAGTCCAGCAGCAAGCCAACAGCCACCAGTGCTCCCAGTGTCACCGATGGTTTCGGCGTGCGGGTGGCATTGCAGTCCATCGCTGCGCCCAGCCCAGTTCTGCCCCGAATCTTGCCAATGCCACAAGCTCTTCACCTGTCTGCCCATGTATTCGGAAACTGTGCTGTACCGCTCACTGTCCCATTTGTGAACGTTGCTGCAAGTCGATCCGGGGCTTTGCTATCCACAACTGCAACCGATCCACCAGGCGTGTGTGTGCGTGTGTGTGTGTGTGTGTACACCGCTGTTCCGCACCTCAGCCTCAGCCTCCCGAGCCCCGGCAAGTCTATGTGCAGGATGCCTGCTGTGCTGCGCACTGTGCTGTGTGTGCCCGCTGCTTTCGGACTGTGCAAGGCCGCGGTCGTCACCGGTGCTCGAGGACTGGCCCGCGCCCGACTGCCCAGCAGCGTAATTCGTTCAGCCATGTATGCGTGTGTTCTCGCCGGTTCCGTTTGCTCCACCATCTCCGGCGTCATCAGGCTGCGTGCTCCATCTTCCTCTCTGATGCCCCTCCGGGGCCCACGTGACCCCTGTGGCAGTGGCTCTACAGGACAGGACAGGTGTGTGTGTGTGTGTGTGTGTGTGTGTGTGTGTGTGTGTGTGTGTGTGTGTGTGTGTGTGTGTGTGTGTGGGTGTGTGTGTGTGTGTGGGTGTGTGTGTGTGTGTGTGTTGATGTACAGTACTGTTGATCAAGTACAAGGGGCAATACTCGTGAGCACCACTCGGTGTGTCACCCACTAGCACTCAACTGAGAATGTGTGGTGTAGCCGTGTGCTCAGGTGCAGTGTGCTTACGTGTGACTTGGCTATGTGTATGCGTAGTGTGTCCGTGTGTCCGTGTGTTCGTGTGCCTGTCCATAAACCCCACGTTTCCTATTATACTAGGTGACACTTACCTCCAAACATGGTGGTGGAGCAGGGCAGGCCTTACAGTCACACTCTGCACAAGTAAACACAGCAAGGTTACAAGATGAAAAGAACATGCCAACGACAAGTATGGGTTCTACATGGGAATGTAGCCCGGCACTGAGCATTGTGCCACATGGCTCTATACCCACATGCCGCTAGTAGATAAAGCAGATGCTCAGTGCTATAGACAGTTCAACAAAGATTGGCATCATGCTGCAGGTTGTTTACTGTCAATATCCACACCATATCCTTTTTCATCCATCAAACTTTCAATTTACAAACCTGTCAATTGAAATATCTACACTAGTTCATTTCGAATTCCTCAAGAGAGAAAATTAATATGAATTGCACGGAGGGTTTTTCCCAGAGAGGGGAATCGAGGAACTTCTATTATGCAAAATTCGTCTTGGACTAATCGAGTTTGCATACAAGCCATCACCTTGATCACAGGTCAGTGCGGAGTCGTAGACTTAGCAGGTCAGTGACTTTTAGACTTAGCAGGTCAGTGACTTTTAGAACTCTACACAGGTCTACACAGCGGGTAGCAGCCTACATGACAGTGACCATTGCAGAGTCAGACTCCATCAACACAGCGGGTAGCAGCCTACATGACAGTGACCATTGCAGAGTCAGACTCCATCAACACAGCGGGTAGCAGCCTACATTACAGTGACTATTGCAGAGTCAGATTGCAAGATTGCAAGAGTGTGACGCAGTGCACATACCACACGTTGAGCAACAGATGTCGTCAGTGTAGTTGGCGACTGTCTTTGTTTCATAGTTCTGTTGCCAGGAGCAGTCGCACGCGCACGCACGCACACACGCACACAAAGCAGAGACAAAACAGAGACAGTGGTGTGAGCATGTCGGTGTGGAGAGTGCGGGGCAAGGCGGGAGAGAAGCGTGATGACAGATGGTGAAGCTTGGACTCCTGGACAGGTATCTCTGCTCCTGCTGCACTCTGCTACCAATGGGGCTGTAAATAAGGGTAGCGATTAATCATTGCGCGAAATCACGCGACACCTGTACATTTTCGATCAGCGGGATGAAGATGACGACGTCCATGCATCAGGTATCAGGGGGTAGTAAGATACTGGTATATTACTACTCCACGCCTCAAATCGTGCTGTCAAGCGTATCCGGGGGAGTGTAGCATGCCATCCCTTACACTTTCCAGCTCAGGGTTACCCTCGCTATCAATGGACGAAATTTCAGGGTCACAGCTTGCGCAACGGCTTTGTCCTGTGCGAATGGCCACTCGACATACTCAGCACAAATTTTCTATTGCATGCATGCACAAAATGTTCAACTTTCGTATTTTTGGCGACTTTACCACCGTCGTGGAGGCTGGTTGGTGAGGAGCAGGTAGCCATCCCTTGTGGAATCAAACACATGGTTCCACAGTGTGGCTGATTCCGCAAGAGCCAGGTCCATACGAGGAACATTCGCTTTGTCTTTTGCCATCGAAGTAAGTCACTTTTCTTGTTCTCAGTGTTTTTTACGTTCAACGTTTCTGAGATTTTTGAATTATTCACTTTTCATTCTTTCATACTTTATTTCTTCATGTTCACTGCCTCACTTGCCTTCTGATCTGGAGAATGTGACGGAGGTGACTGTTGGTTACTGCCTGGTATAACGGTTGTCGTGCTGTTGCTGTATTTCCGTCCTGCCGCGACGTTGTAGATCACAAACAATTTGAAATCACATGAATTGTACTTACCGTCGTGCGTGCGGTATTAGGAAACACTGTGCAGATTAGATCGTCGCAATGTATCTATATGTGTGTCTGTGCCACGCAAGAACTCCAACCAGACGCATTCGTCCTCGGCCCTGTTGATCGACTGTCCACTCGTCTTTCCTTGAAGAACGATCGATCAAAAAAATCGAGCTCGAGGACTTTTTGCAAAAAAACGGCTGAAAAAAGGAAGAAAAAAGGGTGCTGAGAATGAGATTCGAGTACACAACCATGGTCCCAGCAGTTTATGTGGATGTCGCTCATAGATGCGCGATTTCGCGCAATGTAACAGCAAGCATATCAACACTGGAGTCCACATCAAAATGAATTGATCACAGAATTCTGTGCACCCGGGTGATTGCTACGTTTCTGCTACTATAACCAGTTTCTTACCAAGCTGTTGCATGTCAATGAAGGGCAGGTTCGGTTTACTGAGAAGATGGAAAACACAGACCAACACAGGCAAACCCAGGCAAACGCAAACACAACGCCCATAATTGATGCAGTGTGGCAGGAGGTGTGAATCATACAATATCCAAAGTAGGGGTACAGACTTGTCAAACAACAGGAGAATGTATTCCCAGGGGAGGGGGTGCAAATATGTCAAACAACAGGAGAATGTATTCCCGGGGGAGGCAGGGAGGGGAGGGGGGGGGGGGGAGTGCAGATATGCCCCATAAGAAGAGAGTGTTTTCTCAAACCCAGTAAAACATTGCAGAAATGCATGCACATCGATTCGTTAATCCACTGAATGATTCACAAACTGATGGACTGCACTAAGCGGCTGACCGATCGACCGACCGACCGACCGACCGACCGACCGACCGACCGACCGACCGGCCGACCTACCGGCCGACCGACCGACCGACCGACCGACCGACCGACCGACCGACCGACCGACCGACCGACCGACCGACCGACCGACTCACCTATAGCGTGTACATCACAGCATGCTGGAGATGTTGTGCTGTTGCTGCACTGGCCTAGTATTGTTGTCATATTTTGACACTAGAACAAGAAAAACCCGGAACGAAACAAAGCAGTAGCATGAACCAAACACACCTGTTTGCCGCAGCACCATTCGAACAACAAATTCAATGATATCCCCCATGTCAGCAGCCACTTCAAGTTGCAATTCGCACCGTGGCACCTTTTCTAAGCTAAGACAATGATTTGACGTAGCAGACATAATTCACACAAGCACACGCGATTGCATGGATTGTACAAAGGGTAGAAGTAGCCAGCTGTGCAGCACTCATAGAATTTCATACAGTAAAGCTCCCAAGATCCGGACGTCCCTTATTCAGGCACGTCCGTCTACCGGCCACCTTTCTGACCCGGCCATCTAGAGTCAGAAAAATGGCTTTTCAACGAAAAACGGCCTCAAAACAGTCATATTGATTGGCATAAAATCTTTACTTGCATGCAGTAAGTACCGGTATGTGTGTTTTGAGTTACAGGCAATTCCTAGTCACGGACAGTACTCGGTCCTAACCTGCAGGGATCTGGGTTTTTTTACTGTATTAACAACCTGCAATTGTGTACGAGAGGGGGTTTGAGGCGTCTTGCAGTTTTGTGGAAATAGAAGACGGGTTACATGGCAACATCCAATCCACAATGACACTGGAAAATCTGAACCAGCTTCGTTATATTACAACGTTCAACCATGGTGCAGTGTGTATATTCCGACCATGGTGTGGCGTGTGTATTCCGACCATGATGTGGTGTGTGCATTCCAACCATGGTGCAGTCTACATATAACAGTGCATGACTTACCCTACGTGATAAGAGGGACGGCGGAGTGCGAGGGCAATCGTCACAAGTGGACGTGTTGCAAATAGGTTCTGAACATAGTGATACGGGCAGAACAGGTGAACACAAGCAGAACAGGTGAACACAAGTAGAACAGGTGAACACAAGCAGACACAGGAACATGTCTACAACTTGCACCAAACACATAGTCTACCGCTATAAACGACAATGATTCTAATATTCATAAGCTGAGGGAACGGAAAAGGGAACGGGTGAAGAAAAAATTGACTGTCACCGCCAGGAATCGAACCAGGGACCTTCGCTTGAGGCCAGCGATGCTCTGACCACTGAGCTATGGTGTAGCTGTCACCTCGGTCTACCGGGCACCCTGTGGGTGAGGTTAAGTGGAAATACTACTACTCTTTTGCTAGTTTGAGTAGAAATAGTGATGCCATATGCCAGATATCTGCCCCTTCCCCATGGAAACGCATGTGATCGAGACTTATGGACATTTCCAAGTGATGAGCGGTGCCCGGTCCTGGACCCCCCCCCCCCCCCCCCCCCCGGAAAAGCAGATATGAGGATACAATGCACAGTAGGCAATTCTGCATTGATGCACGCAGTCAAGTATTCTGCACTGATGCAGTAAAGTACACAGACTCACCACATCTGTTACAGCAGCCATTGGCTTCAACACCTGTTACAAACTTATGAAAGATCTAACAGAACCCGAGCCAAAGGAGAGCAAACACACACACACACACACACACACACACACACGCGCGCGCGCGCGCGCGCGTGCATGCACGCACACACACACACGCATGCACACGTGCACAAACACACACACACACACACACGTACACACGTGTACATACACACCAGAAGCACAGCATACACACAAAAACTTGAGTTGACCGGTGACCATGAACACTCTGAAAGCTCTGAGATGCAACATAGCTTCCTCCCTTAGTACTGTGTGGAAAGCTCTGCCTGCGTGTGCACAGAGCACCGTTGGAGCAGTGCAGCAGCTACCACACTTGATTACCGCTACTGTACACATAAATAGTTTTATGACATGAAGAGAGTGACAACTACAGCACAGCTGGAACAGAGCAAATGGGCAAGCACATCACCACAAATACACCACTAGTTATTGGAGGTTTACATATCAAAGTGTATAACGTGATGAACAAACTTACTGGACAGTCACTAGGAATTTGTGGTTCACCTCTGCACTTGTCAATCTTTATCCCTGCCAGACGGAACAACACAGCGACATGCATGCAGCTATAACTTCAAGTGCTCCAAGAAGAGCAGAATGCATGAGAGAGAGACAGAGACAGAGACAGAGACCGAGACAGAGACAGAGAGAGAGAGAGAGAGAGAGAGAGAGAGAGACAGAGAGAGAGAGAGAGAGAGAGAGAGAGAGAGAGAGAGAGAGAGAGAGAGAGAGAGAGAGAGAGAGAGAGAGAGAGAGAGAGAGAGAGAGAGAGAGAGAGAGAGAGAGAGAGAGAGAGAGAGAGAGAGAGAGAGAGAAAGAGAGAGAGAGAGAGAGAGAGAGAGAGAGAGAGAGAGAGAGAGAGAGAGACGAGACCGAGACCAAGACCGAGACAGAGACAGAGACCGAGACAGGTACAGAGACAGAGAGAGAGAGAGAGCCAGAGAGAAAGAGAGAGAAAGAGAGAATGAGACCGAGAAAGAGAGAAATGGAGACAGAGAACTTTCTATTTCAATGCCAACACCAAAATCCAATTCATCATTTCACCATCACGTTGCTCTAAACCTAATAGACTAGCATTGCCTGCATGACTGCCAGCAAGACATAGACAATAGACAATAGACATACCACAGTCCACCGTAGAGCAGCAGTTCTTGAAGCCATGGTTGTACACATACGAACTGCTTGAACATTCACCCAAACTATACGTTGCATTGTAGCACTGCAATTGGGTCACAGAAGAGAAGATAATGACATGCACACACACACACACACACACACACACACACACACACACACACACACACACACACACACACACACACACACACACACACACACACACACACACGCACGCACGCACCCACACACGCATGCATGCATGCTTACACACATACATGATTGCATACACGTGAACACCACGCAAGGAAGTGAGGTCTGCAGCAAGGCCCACCAACAACTCCTAAATGTAGAGCACAGACTCACCATCATTTGCTCAAATCAAAACAGACAGGTGGGTGTGATTGTGTAGACGGGAGCATGTAGGGTGTGATTGTGTAGACGGGAGCATGTAGGATGTGATTGTGTAGACGGGAGCATGTAGGGTGTGATTGTGTAGACAGGAGCATGTAGGGTGTGATTGTGTAGACGGGAGCATGTAGGGTGTGATTGTGTAGACGGGAGCATGTAGGGTGTGATTGTGTAGACGGGAGCATGTAGGGTGTGATTGTGTAGACGGGAGCATGTAGGGTGTGATTGTGTAGACGGGAGCATGTAGGGTGTGACACGAGCTTTATGTGCTACATGTGCATTATTCTATTTTATCCTCTCATCTTCTAGTGCATTAGTAACATGCCAAACAGGGAGTCGTATAGAGCTGTATAGGGCATATACAGCTCCTTGCTACCAAGACTATGATACCAAGATGATAATTATCAATATCAAGATGATAATTATCAATATCAAAATGATAATTATCAATATCAAAATGATAATTATCAATATCAAGATGATAATTATCAATATCAAGATGATAATTATCAATATCAAGAGCAGTACAAAACACCGTATAATGGTTCAATTTTAGATTTTAGAGGAGGGCCGCGAAATAGCACCTACAACAATGGCTTACTGCACTACAGTAAAACCTGTAAGTAAAGACCACTGTGACTAGCGACCAGCCTGGTACTACAGACCACCGTGACTAGCGACCAGCCTGGTACTACAGACCACCGTGACTAGCGACCAGCTTGGTACTACAGACCACCGTGACTAGCGACCAGCCTGGTACTACAGACCACCGTGACTAGCGACCAGCCTGGTACTACAGACCACTTCGCCAGGCACGGACGGCCTCACATTATGGTTGTGTGGTGCAAACCTCTAACCAAGGACAACTTGCCGCTAAAGACCGCTTTCTCTGGCCCCAAGGGCAAGGGGTGGTCGTTAGTCACAGGTTTTACTGTATCTTGAAATACCTTCCAAAGTCGTTATTTTGTGAAGCATACAGGAATAAAAAAATGCACTCAGTATTTGCCATGCACACAGACAGGCGTTAGCATACCGGGCTACACGTCTCGTTAACACAATCGCTGCAGTTGCAACCTAGGAGAACAATGGCACAGGCAAGCAATCATAATGTACACAGGCCATTGTGACAATGTCCTCTCTACAAGCACGAGAATATTTATACAGCACAAACTATTCATCCTTCCTATTAACTTTCACTGACAATGCCATCATCTTGTTACATAGCATATTGACTACAGACAAGTCTACATCTCCCCAGTTATCATAATAGGCAATAAAACATTGGATCACTGAGATTTGCTGATTTCACTCAGTACTTCGTGCACATGCATATACTGTAGCAGTGCAAACACGGGACCACGCGGGATGATAATCTCCCGGCTGATAACTGACAAGTTTGACGTCTGTACCGATGGTCGCCTTCATTCACAACACAATACTCCTGTCAACACACATGCTGTTGTCATGCCAACCATTCATTGATTGCCCTTTAAACCTGGAAGTTGGAGGTTTCATGCAGTCTCACTGAAGCAGAAGACAGATCTTAATCCGTCCATTTTCTACCAGTTTTGTAGATGCCAGCATTAGTTTAGTGGGTCTTACCACAAGTCCAGTTGGCGCAACAGTCAGGATAGCTGTTGCTGGCTACTTGGTCAACTCTCCATACTCCACCCTGCACCAGCAGCACACACAGTACACACAGTACACACACATACCATGGACACACAGTACACACACATACCATGGACACACAGTACACACACATACCATGGACACACAGTACACACACATACCATGGACACACAGTACACACACATACCATGGACACACAGTACACACACATACCATGGACACACAGTACACACACATACCATGGACACACAGTACACACACATACCATGGACACACAGTACACACACATACCATGGACACACAGTACACACACATACCATGGACACACAGTACACACACATACCATGGACACACAGTACACACAGTACACACACATACCATGGACACACAGTACACACACATACCATGGACACACAGCACACACAGTACAGTAAACCCTGAAAAGGCGACCACTCGGAAAAAGGCGACCACTCGGAAAAAGGCGACCACTCGGAAAAAGGCGACCACTCGGAAAAAGGCGACCACTCGGAAAAAGGCGACCACTCGGAAAAAGGCGACCACTCGGAAAAAGGCGACCACTCGGAAAAAGGCGACCACTCGGAAAAAGGCGACCACTCGGAAAAAGGCGACCACTCGGAAAAAGGCGACCACTCGGAAAAAGGCGACCACTCGGAAAAAGGCGGCCACTCGGAAAAAGGCGACCACTCGGAAAAAGGCGACCACTCGGAAAAAGGCGGCCACTCGGAAAAAGGCGACCACTCGGAAAAAGGCGACCACTCGGAAAAAGGCGACCACTCGGAAAAAGGCGACCACTCGGAAAAAGGCGACCACTCGGAAAAAGGCGACCACTCGGAAAAAGGCGACCACTCGGAAAAAGGCGACCACTCGGAAAAAGGCGACCACTCGGAAAAAGGCGACCACTCGGAAAAAGGCGACCACTCGGAAAAAGGCGACCACTCGGAAAAAGGCGACCACTCGGAAAAAGGCGACCACTCGGAAAAAGGCGACCACTCGGAAAAAGGCGGCCACTCGGAAAAAGGCGGCCACTCGGAAAAAGGCGACCACTCGGAAAAAGGCGACCACTCGGAAAAAGGCGGCCACTCGGAAAAAGGCGACCACTCGGAAAAAGGCGACCACTCGGAAAAAGGCGACCACTCGGAAAAAGGCGACCACTCGGAAAAAGGCGACCACTCGGAAAAAGGCGACCACTCGGAAAAAGGCGACCACTCGGAAAAAGGCGACCACTCGGAAAAAGGCGACCACTCGGAAAAAGGCGACCACTCGGAAAAAGGCGACCACTCGGAAAAAGGCGACCACTCGGAAAAGGCGACCACTCGGATAAGGCGACCACTCAGATAAGGCGACCACCTGTCCAAGAAGACCACTGAATCCAGAACCAAGGGATGCTATTTCCAGTCAAATGACCCTGGATAAGGAGACCACCTGGTAACAGAGACCACATTTCGAAGGTCCCTTGAGCTGTTGCCGCGTTCTAACTAGAAATACAGTCATTCAGCTATTAGAAATCAAAAGTTGTCTTACCGCATTTGTGCACTTCTGGTGTTTTTGATGCTTTTGATCCGCGATGTGGCATGTATCATTCTTACACTCTGCATATAACAAGCCACACAACATGAACACAACATAAACACATGCATGACAACATATGCCATAGCAGGATCCCATCAAGTTGGAAACAGTTAAGTATCAGTGGTGACCAGTAGCACGTATGCACCCACGCGTGTGCACCCACACGTATGCACCCACACGTGTGCACGCACACACGCACGCAAGCGCACACACACACACGCACACGCACACACACACACACGCACACACACACACACACGCACACACACACACGCACACACACACACACACACACACACACACACACACACACACACACACACACACACACACACACACACACATGCAGTGTACTATGAGCAGTGAAAGTCACCCACTGCCTACAGTGCTATAAACATGCTTCTCTTGTCACTGTTCTCACACACCCGGTATACTGCTTTCTTAATTAAGATGGAGTTCCGGCTCCTGACATGGAACTAGGTATGTCCACCATTTTTCAGTGGCGGAAACATGCAAGGCACTACGCCGAGTAAACTGCCGTGTTTGCCGAGTATAATCTGCACTGGAGTAAAGGCTGCAACCAGATTGTTTTGTCACAAAATACAGACGTCTACCCTGTTGATCACCATTGATTTGACCACCGTAGTAGTATCATGATTTCACCACCGTAGTAGTATCATGATTTCACCACCGTAGTAGTATCGTAAGTCGACTTTGTGTGAATTCCTAGTGTTTACATTGCAGCTTACGCTCAATACACAGAAACTGAATATGTTGATGTTACAAGAAACAGCAACGAATGGAGATCAATCAAACTCCTGGGTTCTCTATTGGGCTCTGCAGAAGACGTGGACATGAGAATCTCAAAAGCAAACAGGGCGTTTGGTTCGATTTCTTGGAGACGGCATTCCTTTCAATCCCGACTGTGTATGTTTAACTGCCTCATAATGCCGCTCCTTCTATACAATTGCGGATTGTGGACTCTGTCCAAATTGCTGAACGACAAACTGGACAAATGGCAACGGAGGAAGCTACGCGTACTGCTGCAGATTGTCTACCCGCAACGCATCACCAATAACAACTTATACACAGAAACAAAACAATCTCCAGTTAGTGCCACATGTCGGCGACGCAGGCTGCTGTGGTTTGGCCATGTGGTGCGAGAGGGTCCGGAATCCGCCTCGTTCCAAGCACTGGAGCTATCAATCAACACGAACGACATAAAAAAACCCCGTGGCCGTCCGCCATTGCGGTGGATAGATACGATTCGGCACGACCTGAAGGCAGCGGATCTCTCCGTGGAGAGCGCTCTCCAAGCTGCAGGAGATAGACTAACTTGGCTTGACACTGTTGACAGATGCGTCGACTCTGCTCCTGTCTAACAGGTTCAGGGAAGATGCGAGCTGTGTTTATTATTATTATTATTACGCTCCAGGAAATACGGCACCCGGGCCGGGTGTGGGGTCTAGTCTCTAGAGTGACCACACGGGCACAGCAGTTGTTAGGGTATTTAGCAATTGGTACACAGATCAATGTCTCCATAGTAAACATGGAGTTAGAAGAGAAAGTGACCGCTTGAAACAGTGCAAAACCATGTGGGTATACGCAATCCAAACAGCAGCAGCAGCAGCAACAGCTTACCGCACTTATAGATGTTCAGTAGAGGACAGCAGTCCTTTCCACATCCATCCGCTGATACAGGCCGGGCATGACTATATACTATAACACCACCCTGGGCAACACATCACACCAGATGAAATGCAACAATAGCATGTGCATGAGCTCCAAACTCAAGGCAATTTCTCGTTTAATCAAGAAAGCCCAACGCAAGATGGAAGCGGGACCAAAAGAGAAGGGTGAAGATTGGTTTTCAACCACACAGGCAGTTTGGTCAGAGCAGCATAGACTTGTGTATTGTTGGGGAGTGCGTATCCCATCGATGCAAGGTTGGTTCTGCAGAAGTCAAAGTGCATCTCGCCGGGACTGCAGGGAGTATATTGTGAGGAGGATTTCAAGCAACAATATGTGTTGCAATGACCACAATCGTCATGGTATGTGGCTGTCCAGAAGACTTAAAACTTACCTTTTGACATGTAGCGCTGGAGTTGTAACGGAAAGTGTCGTTTGGTGGATGGCTCTGCATGAAGGCGCTCTGCTTAGTACTACAATCACTGCTAGTAGTGTTACACTCTGGGAATTAGAATATACAAATTCAAATTCAGTCAAATTCAATATTTGATCTAAGAGCAAGTCAGATTGCAATATACCGAAACACACACTGAATAAGAGTGAATACCAGATGAGGAAGATACTTTGCTCACCAGAAGCAGGTCATGACATGTGAAAGAAATATCCGTTGTGCAGTGTGCTTCAGTGGAGAAAAGCACACACTGACAAGAAACTTGGCAGACACACAGCAGAAAACCAGGCACGTAGCAACACTGTTGGAGGTGGTCTGGCAGGAGAGGGGGGGGGGGTCCGGAGTAGGGGGGGTCCCGTGGTAGGGGGGGGGGGGGGTCCCGGGGTAGGGGTGTCCCCGGGAAAATACTGAAATTAGGGTGCAAAATCCTGCATTCTGGACACTTTTTCGCGGTCAGGCGAAAAAGTGGTCTGGCCGGACGGGCTGCTACGCCCCTGAAAACTTACTACATGTTTTTGTGGGACAGCATGAAGAGTCGGAGTATTCAGTAACAAGCTCCTCCAACTGCAATAGAAAACACAACATGTAACAAGGCTCAGTCAATAGAAACATTGTCATAATTGTAATGTCGGATTTGAAACTAGGACGGAGGCGGAAAATATTACAAAATGTTTTATCTACGCATGCATCTACGCAAGAACGCATCACTTCAATACTTAACTTATTCTTTTGCTCACTGAGCAATACAATCTTTCTATTTTCTTTCTTCTGTGTTCTTTTTCAATTTAATCCTCCCTACCCAATATCCCTTTGGTGCGTCCATGGAGCTATGAAGCCGAGACCTCTGGTCGGCGGAGCTTAATGGGCCCCACCACCACACTCCATTATTCACCCCCAGTGTCTGGAGATATGTGGATTTTGTAGAAAAAAAGAAAGAAAAAAATCACCAGCCAATTCGGTCATGTGTCATAAGTTTTGAACGTTTTCGTTCCCTTCTTCTCAAAATACTACAGGGAATGGTGGAAATAAACTAAGAGACTACAGAATTATAAAGATCAGAAGTTCAGAGATGAAGCACTCCAATTATGTGTAGAAGTAACATGTCTCTGTGCAGTTGCTTGGCATCGTTCGTCGTGAAGGTGTGAAACTATCCCTTGATTTCTTGATGTTTCTCTCTCTTTCTCTTTTTTTACCTTTTTTCATAACGTTTTTGTCACCTAGTGGTGTTTCATGCTGTTTTTGACTCTCCACATTTAGTTTGTTTGTGTCACTTCTACACATAATTGGAGTGCTGTATCTCTAACTTCTGATCTTTATAATTCTGTAGTCTCTTAGTTTATTTCCACCATTCCCTGTAGTATTTTGAGAAGAAGGGAACGAAAACGTTCAAAACTTATGACACATGACCGAATTGGCTGGTGATGCGTTCTTGCGTAGGTGCATGCGTAGATAAAACATTTTCTGTAATAATTGTAATGCTTCTCGTTGCACCTCTGTGCTGTGTAGGTTTGCCACTATCATCTCATATGCATTGCATACAACTAGCCTGGTGGCATGCCAGAGTATGCTGGGTAGTATGATATGGGACCAATATGCACAGGAGCCTCAACAGCAGGTCAAACTGAGCAGAATACTAGCACACGTGTGCGAGTACATAACACATGTATAACAGCTACGAGTACATAATACATGACATGTAGATGTACTAGTGTGGGATCTAGTCTTACTATGTATAGAATCGTGTACATGACATGTAGATGTACTAGTGTGGGATCTAGTCTTACTATGTATAGAATCGTGTACATGACATGTAGATGTACTAGTGTGGGATCTAGTCTTACTATGTATAGAATCGTGTACATGACATGTAGATGTACTAGTGTGGGATCTAGTCTTACTATGTATAGAATCGTGTACATGACATGTAGATGTACTAGTGTGAGATCTAGTCTTACTATGTATAGAATCGTGTACATGACATGTAGATGTACTAGTGTGGGATCTAGTCTTACTATGTATAGAATCGTGTACATGACATGTGTACGAGTGCACAATACATGTAAAGAAATACGTGACAAGCTGCTGGCACCACTGACAGTCAAACATCTTCATCCAGTCCCCTGCAGAAACTAGCTATGCCCGCACAGAACGTACTGATAACACATTGAAGGGCACAGCAGATCATTTCTCGACATTTTTACTTTTATGCTTATCTCAATTCCATGTTCTCCGCTCCAACCGGAGACTTCGTACAGAGGCAACGACTTGTCTCTGAGGATACAATGGCAAAGCCGATGCCGATGATGAATGATGTCAGTGGCAATGTCAGTGACAATGGCAGCAGCGATCATCATGCTACCAACACAGTCAATATCGACTTACTTCACACGGACAGCTTGTCAAGGTGCCGTTCTTGCAAGGTTCATGATAGTTGGCATTAATGCAAAAATACGTAGTTATTTTGCAGCAGTCAGGACAGCCTTGCGACAATGAAATCGTTTTGTTCTCTACCAGACAAAAGCCCTGCACAACGCCAGCAAAACAGAGCAGTAAAGCAAAAACACATTAGCACACATTTTCATGAACCTTTGTGTCAAAGGGCAAAATCTAACTTGCCACGTGGCGAATAGCTTACTTCAGCAAACACACGAGTCATACGGCAGTCTGGAGCCAGTGCCGTAGCCGCTTCCGCTCCCCTGCACCCCATCTTATGTGAACATTTAAGTGAATTGTACTTGTTCAAGTACACATTTATATAGGGCCGGCCGTTACTCTGATGACTCCCATACCTGCTTGCACTTGTAAGAACTATTGTAGATCCCAGGATTCTGCAGTTTGTAGCCGTCCTTTGCACTGCCACACTTTGCACTATTGCACTCTGTGACGGAGTAGATGGAGAGAAACGGCACGGGAAGATAGCACTTTACCAGAGCTCAGGAAAAAAACTGATAGCAACTGCTTCTAGATGCAGAACCGAATTACCAGTAGGCAAAACACGTATGAATCGTGCACCGCTGCAAACACCACATATCCTGCTATCCATTGGGCCTAATATCCTTCTGATCCAGATAAACAGTCATGATGGATCGAGCGGAAAGCTGACTTTGAGCAAAAAAATACCCTGTCAGAAATAAATAACATCATACTGCAACTTCAGGAACACAATCAGCAGAACAAATTAAATCGACCTCGGTCACCTTGCCACCTTTTAGATACTGCAAACAGCCGTTTGAATGTTTCACACAGTTATACACCACTACTCAAAAACGGTCTCTCGGCTACAAATTCTTCCAAATATAATTAATTAAGTAAAATCCGCCGTGAAGTGCCAGCGCTACAGGGGAGTCCGCACACCCTTAGGAAGCCTTTTGAATGTAGTCTTTACTTCCCTTCAGCCAGTTCAGGCTCACAAGTGATCTTACAGAACCAGGCACGCACAGTAGACCCTTACGACAGCGCGTTATGTTACAGCACTCTGTGGCATTGACAGCGCCGTCAAGAATCTCCACATCCTCTAGGTCCTGCGCAGTACACAATCGTGTGAATGTGTTTGAAATGATACAACAAAGCAAACAGGACACAGCTTCAACCCTTGAGGCTTAGTCATACTGGCACTACATACTCAGTCAAACTGGCACTACATACTCAGTCATACTGGCACTACATACTCAGTCATACTGGCACTACATACTCAGTCAAACGTTCAAACAAATACTAGTATTAAGCTGTCCTTCACAGCCACTAACAGAATTATATTGTCATCAACAAGTGTCTAAAACAGCTACAGTCCATTCATCGGAAACTGGCCCGCTGGCTTTTGAAAGTCGGATTTGGGCCGAATTGAGGATCAAAAACCCACTTAAAATCTCAAAAATCTGGGTTTTGGATCTGCTTCTCCATACATTTTGCCATGGCATACCTGTCCTAATTTTGTAAAACCTGGCTGAATTTCTATTTCCCTGTTCTTGGACTTTTCTGGCCTCAAAAGTGGCAAGGAGTAATTGCACGGGTCACACAATGCAGGATGTACTGTTGTTTTCCCGATATCTACAACTATGTGAGAGAGACACCAAAAAGTTAAGGTGCCAGTTTCCAATGAATGGACTGTAGAGCGCTTTCCGCCAACAGACATTCGATAGAACACATGGGTGGCTGGAACCGGGTATAGTCGAAGTGCACTCATATACTCGTACATGTATTGCAACACTGCACACTTACACAACAGGAAGAGTTGCACAGAGGAACTGGCTTGTCCACTGCAAGAAAACAATGCAAACCACAAGAACAAAAAACGCAACCACTGAAATACTGGCTCTCCTGGGATCTGGCGAACTAATTCACACCTTGCCAGCTTTAGTCAGGCGCATACGCAGGGGGGGGGGGGGGGTCCCGTTGCCCGGAAACCCCCTAAATGTTCCAAACGAGCTACGTTTTTTGGGGGTTTGGTAGGGTGCGCGATCGATCTGACAAGAATGCAAAACTTCAACAGATCGTAACTCAGTCAAATCTCGCTCAAATCCAACGATCCAAATATCCAGGGCTAAAAGAAAACTCTCAGCTGTCGGTAGAAGCAATTTACGAAGCGCTGCGAGCAATGTTTCTTGAGATAAATCATTCGTAAGTTGAGCCACTACCTCGGCAAAAGCATGCAGTGCGACTTGAGTACCGAGAATTTGAGACTTTTTGTTATGCTGACTTGCTCAAATTTGCAGGGGCTTCACGTGTGATATTCTCAAGAGTACACAGCAAAAATCGAAACTCTGCGATCGAGAAAAATGAAATCGCTGGAGCAGGACGCGTTTGGGCCTTCAAGTTTGCTTTGGGGGCATTTTTCTCACCGCCGCTGCACTCTTGCGCTGGATACATGTACAGTGTCCCGGCTATCATGGTCGATCTCATTCTCTTCCTCTCTCAGATACCTTTCCACTTCAAGGAAGCCCAAGATTAAGAATATTGAGTGAGTAGAACTCACGTTATGATCAAAGGAACACGAAAAATTGAATAATTTTGAAAATTTTCTAGGGCTCTTTTAAAAGGTTAAAACTTATTGTTTGTGACTCAGTTGGAACCCCCCCCCCCCCTAGAGGTGACCCTGCGTAAGCACCTCTTAGTACTGCGCATACTACTTACTACATGTACCAACAGCACATATCCCACTACACACATCCCACTACACACATCCCACTACACACACCCCACACCACCATGTCTTCAAAACGCCATCGGTCGTTGTCCATGCACTAATGCGGACAAAAGCTGAACATGGTACCCTGCTCAACGGCATCACAGCCCTACAGACTGCAGAGAAGGGTAGAGATCTAACGAATGTTCTTACCGCACGTGTCTTCCGGACAGCAGTCAGTTCCATTCATTGTAGCATTGCGCACTCTCACCAGTTCTTGTCTTGGACACTGCATGGACACACATGCACAAACATGCACATATACAAACATACAAGAACAAACAAGAACACACACACACACACAGACACACCATAGAGCACACACAGAGCACAGAGAGCACACAGAGCACACATGAAATCAACACTACAAGAAGAGTGTCGAGTGGCATATCATAAGATCCCAAGCGAATGATTCGTGACGACCCACCTCACTATCTCACCATGTACAGTAAGTAGCCTGAAAAGACACTGCAAGGAGGTCATAGCTAACATACATGACATGATGTATGCCACATATAAAAGTAGATCATAATGCTCTAAGTGCCACCAGACATCCCCTGTGGAGACTATGCTAACGGCACGACAGCATAAGGAAAACAGCAAAACAACACAATACCGGTTGACCTACATTTTGAGAACAATGCTTAGTTGGGCAAGTCTCGCTGCAGCATTCTGCACAGAACGTAAATAAGATGTGGAAAAGGCAGAGACAAATACACCTTAAGGTATTGCGATGCATTTATTGTTTTGGTGGCCTCTGCTGCTTCACAGCACACGCTACTAAGTACCATAACAGAATGTTATATATGCCAGGGTACGGCTGCATCATCTGCAAACAACACACTACAACCTTTCCAGTGCTCTGAACACATCCATCTCAGTTCCAACGCACGTGCCTTGCAATACAGTTACTACACCTGTATGTCTGGGTCATGCTATACAATCAGCCCTTGTGCATGGGTTAACAAAAAACATGGATTCTTTGATAAGCAGGGAGGAGAGTGCAGCAGTTCTAAAATTCCGGGTTCTCTTTCCATAACTTCAGCGCCGCCATATTTCCACCAGGTGAACCGGCCAATAACGCTCATTTTCAATATCATCCCAACTCACCAGGTTCGTAGATAGGCACAGTACAGCAGCCACAATCTGTTGTCACGTTTTCTTGCTTACTCTTGTTGCAAACACCGACCTGGAGTGGAAGAACAAGCACCAACAAAACAAGGTTTCCAACTCGCCGCATACCAGGACCACTATTGGTAGCGATACTAGAGCACTCACCGCAATCGCCATCATCCCTTCCCCAAGCCAACTCCCCTTCACCAAAGCCATTACCCGTTCACCAAATCCATCACCCCTTCACTAGATCCCTCTTCCCTAAAGCCATCATCTCTTCCCCAAAGCCATCATGTCTTCCCCAACGCCCTATCAAAGAATACTCAAGGTGTTCCTATGCCCTGACTCTCCTTGGAACCGGGGAGCACTAGCACTGGCTGACTGTAGACCGGATTCTTCATCGCCATGCTGCAAACAGCATACATGCATACTGTGGTAGATACTACAGCACACCATGTTATGTAAAGCACTGGGAAAGCCAGCACAACAAGTACAGCCAGCATAACAAGCACAGTCAGCATAACAAGCACAATGAGTACAGCCAGCATAACAAGCACAACCAGCATAACAAGCACAGCCAGCGCAATGAGCACAGCCAGCATAACAAGCACAACCAGCATAACAAGCACAATGAGCACAGCCAGCGCAATGAGCACAGCCAGCATAACAAGCACAACCAGCGCAATGAGCACAGCCAGCACAGCTTCTACAGACCAATACAAGATGCACTCGATCAGATTCCTGCAAGTCTCCCTTCAACTGAACACAAGATATTTATTCAGTGCATCAGATCTAGTCAAGCTCGCTTAGAGTTTAACCCGAATCAGAGCAGCATGCCAGCATGGTGATCCACTGTACTCACGCCTGATTGTGTTCGGTCGTCATAAGACTGTCCACTTGGCAGTATATTGCTTCCTTTGTAGCGAGTTGCTGCTTCTGTGCACTTCGCCTGATCACAGACTATACACAGGTGACGCACGCACACGCGCACGCACGCACGCACGCACGCACACACACATACATACAAACACATAGTGGACTATATAGGAGCACTATGCACACAGGAGGTGTGGAGAGTTGGAGTTGACTGAGGGGGTACTATGTACTATGTAGTCACACTGATCGAGACTACTAGGGTAAGACAAGCTGAAGAGTGCTGTCCTATTCGCCCCACTAGGACCAAATGATATACGGTGACGACCAGGCTTAGCAAAGCAATGTATGAGGGACTATGATCTGATCAGAGCAACCAAACAACTGCCAGCGCCACCAATCAGAAGGAAACATGTTGAATGGCGCATACAGTCAGTAACAAGTAACAACACAGTCAACAGCAGCAGCAGCAGCAGCAGCAGCAGCAGCAGGGAAAGCAACATCAGCGAACACAGCAGAAGCAGCCGGAAGCAGCAGCAAGCACAGCGATAGCAACAGCAGCAGCCGCACTTACCACAGTCGTACTGTGGACAACATTCTTCATCTAAACCTGCCGTGCTGTTCAGCTTTGCATACTTGTCCTGAACAAATCACAGATGGTGTGCAAAAGAAACAAAGTGATGAGAGGAAGTTGTGACTGACTAGGCCAGCATGCTAACGACCATTGGTGATAGAGTAGGTTACATTATTCGGCCAAGAATACAGTGCTGTGTCGTGGGCTGAGCTTAAAGGGGAAGTTAAGGCAAAAATTAAAATTTCACCAGTTGTAGTCTTCGGGGTGCTGAGTCGAATGGTCTTGGTCTGAGAAAGCTGAGACGCTCCCTTCCTACTTGAATCCCAATCGAACTCGCGCACTTCCACCGAAACTGGGTGACTGCGCCCTACTAGATGGGGATTTGTATACAAAATGTCACTAAAAGCGCCATTTCGTTCTTATAAAAGCACGGATGACCGCGATTGGCCCATATGTTGTAGTCTTTTGGACGCTGAGTCGACTGGTTTTGGTCTGAAAAGGCTGCGATGCAGCGTTCCTCCTTTATTCCCAATCGAACATGGTTGAACAAGCGGTCACGTGCTCCTGGGTGCCCAAATCACCTGGTCACCACGCCAGCAGGCGACAACTTTCACACCAAGGTTCAACTCGAGTGACAGGACTGCACCCAAAAAAGGTCAAACAGGCTAGTAAGTTGTACCCTGCAGGCACGGTGACCAGGTGACTGGCGTACGCAGGAGCACGTGACCGCTTGTTCAACCATGTTCGATTGGGAATAAAGGAGGAACGCTGCATCGCAGCCTTTTCGGACCAAAACCAATCGACTCAGCGTCCAAAAGACTACAACATATGGGCCAATCGCGGTCATCCATGCTTATATAAGAACGAAATGGCGCTTTTAGTGACATTTTGCATACAAATCCCCATCTAGTAGGGCGCAGTCACCCAGTTTCGGTGGAAGTGCACGAGTTCGATTGGGATTCAAGTAGGAAGGGAGCGTCTCAGCTTCCTCGGACCACGACCATTCGACTCAGCACCCCGAAGACTACAACTGGTGAAATTTTAATTTTTGCCTTAACTTCCCCTTTAAGCTCACACAAGTGATAACAAATTAATTAACTCCACAGCCGAATAAATTTCAAGCCTTTCTTCAGCAAATACGTGTGAGTGCGTGTGTGTGGATCTGAATGATACATTCAATCCTTCTGGATACTGATTCTACCAAAAACATCGCCTTATTCCCGACTAAAGCACCTTCAAATGAAGACAAACTTACATCGCACTGGCCACATGAGGGCACTGTACAGTTTGGATAGGAGGGTCCAAGGTCGGCTAGATGGGAGGATAGAGATCAAACATACAATAACACACACGCACACACACGCACACACACACACACACACACACACCATTGACCATTGGATGCCCATCGCCAGAGGCGATGATAGCGATGCTACAGCAGAAGCCATAGCAACTTGTGCTGGGATTGCACCATTCAACAGCTTGCAAGGCTGAAGAATTGACCACCACTATTCAGCCTGGTCTACACCACACAGCTTTGAAGTGGCTTTTTTCTGGCCAGTGAATCCCTACTTTTTGGTCTTTTTTTCTTCTTTTTTCCCGCACACACATCACACCACATACTCCGGCATGCACTGGCTGTTGGTAACCACCCAGGAGAATGAAAGAAAAGTCAGGAAGAGTCTGAGAAAGAGAAGAAAGACGTGTGTGACCATAATCGTCGGGAATCGAACCCGCAACCTATCGATTGGAAATCGCTGCACATACCACTGCACCATATGGGACACACACACACACACACACACACACACACACACACACACACACACACATACAAACACACACACGCACATGCACACACACACACACACACACACACACACACACACATAATCATCATAAGAGGGTTAGTGAGCTGTGAAGCGGCTGTGTCCAGAGTATGCTGACTCATCTCTACATCCCCAACCTGGCCTGCCTGCCCACCTGTCCACCTGTCTGTCTAGCTGAAGAGTCTTCAGTGGTCAAACAAGGTTATTCCTGTTCACACTAGTGCTGAATTCATTTCACAAGTCACGAAACAAGTCCACAATCTCTAGTATCACGATGCTGTTTCCCAAGCACTATACATGTATGTGCAACTACTATTTAATCTAGTTCTCCATGAGTCATTTTTTTATAACGGCCATTCTTTGAGTCATATTTTTATAACGGCCATTCTTAGAGTCATATTTTTATAACGGCCATTCTTAGAGTCATATGTTTATAACGGCCGTTCTTAGAGTCATATTTTTATTACGGCCATTCTTATCCTATAACAATTCTCACCGCATAGGCTTTCTGCACAAGGTACGGTCTGGTGTCAACAGGCCGGTATTGTAAAAGTAGTGGAATGACATGAAATCATGGAGGAGAAGGGAAGGAGGAGGGAGCAAGAGAAGGAGGAGGAGGGAGCAGGAGAAGGAGGAGGGAGGAGGAGAATGAGGAGGAGAAGGGGGAGGAGGAGGTCACTGAACTTGGTAGGAGTTGGGCATAATCAATGTTGTCAATGTAATCGATGCAGCATTTATTCTACAATCACAGATGCTAGTTGGCAGGGAAATCCGATGCTAGGCGGCAGGGAAATCCGATGCTAGGCGGCAGGGAAATCCGATGCTAGGCGGCAGGAGATCCTATGCTAGGCGGCAGGGAGATCCTATGCTAGGCGGCAGGGAAATGCGATGCTAGTTGGCAGGGAAATGCAATGCTAGGCAGGGGGGGGGGGGGAGGGAGATCTTACTACATGTGTAGGTAGGGCAACAATCGGTTCCAATCATTGAAGCAGCCGTTTCTGTAACGATTTGGCACTAAAACATTAACGGCAGAGGAGACAAAGAAGAATATTACAGACTGGCAGCTGCAAGCAATACTTAAAACCATCACTAGTCAGCACTGTATAGAGATCTATGTTACGATTAGCCAATGTTACCTCTCTCAACCTTTAATATGTTCAATCTACTTGTGAGCAGAACACACTGTCGTGTCTACACAAGTTCACAATGGTGCGAAACTAACATACTGTCGTGTCTACACAAGTTCGCAATGGTGCGAAACTTCGTTTTCCTGTAGCTCTGAGATTCAAAAGAAAGTCCAGTGGAACAAAAAGGAAATCTCAACTGAGAGTTTTCATGCTTTAACCCTTTAAGAGCCGCCCCATACTTGAATGCGTCGTAAACAACGCATTCAAATGCAAAACTTCAAAAGATCGTAACTCAGTCCAATCTCGCTCAAATCCAGTGATCGAAATATCCAGGGCGAAGAGAAAACTCTCACCTGTCGGGAGAAACAATCCGCGAAGCGCTGCGAGCAACGGTTCCTGAGATAAATCACTCGTAAGTTGAGCCGCGATCGCGGCAATTTCAAAAGCGCGCAGTGCGACTTTGGTATTGAGAATTTTGAGACTTTTCGTCACGCTGGTTTACTCGAATTTGCACGGGTTTCACTGTTGATATTGTCAAGAGTACACAGCGAAAAAATTGGAACTCCACGATCGAGTAAAATGAAATATCTGGAGTGGGACGCAATTGGACACATTTCGGGCATTTTTCGTACTGTCGCTGTGATCTAGCGCTGGATAGACGGTGTGCTGGCTATCATGATCGACCTCATTCTCTTCCTCTCGCGGATACCTTTCCAGGAAGCCCTAGATTGTGAGGATTGAGTGAGTAGAACTGAAGCTATGATCCAAGGAACACGAAAAAATGCAGAATTTTGAAAATTTCCTGTGGCTCTTAAAGGGTTAAAAAAAGCAATCCTCAGGAGACTGAAGCTATGATGCAGGAGACTGAAGCTATGATGCAGGAGACTGAAGCTATGATGCAGGAGACTGAAGCTATGATGCAGGAGACTGAAGCTATGATGCAGGAGACTGAAGCTATAATGCAGGAGACTGAAGCTATGATGCAGGATGACTGAAGCTATGATGCAGGAGACTGAAGCTATGATGCAGGAGACTGAAGCTATGATGCAGGAGACTGAAGCTATGATGCAGGAGACTGAAGCTATGATGCAGGAGACTGAAGCTATGATGCAGGAGACTGAAGCTATGATGCAGGAGACTGAAGCTATGATGCAGGATGACCTGGTCTTATTTACTAACTCTAAGTTTCAAGGCAACTGGAACAATCATCAGACAACTGTCGTGTCTATAATTAACGCCAGAGGACGTCACTACAACTTTTTTTCCCAACCGAACACATTCAGGTACTGTCTAAAATGAAGAGTATGGAAAGAATGGACTCGGATGGAGAGCCAAGAATTAATTTATACAAAAGAGAAATAGCGTAATTTGTAGTTCCTTGGTCCTTTCTCTTTAGTATGGAAAGAGTCGTACCTTTCCGCAGTTGTGAGGGCGACACGTGTCGCTACACCTCGTGTCACAATCTGTAAAGAAGACAGGGGCAGAAAACAGTATGGAAAGCATTCAGCTTGGAGTTGAGAAAATAGAAGAATGCTAGCATGCATGCTGGTTGGGTTGCCATCCCGCGTCTCCCTCCTAACACACCTACAACAGTGAGGCATTCCTAATAGGCCAATACAATCACTTACAACATTCGTGTATGTCCACAGACGAGCTGCAGCAGCTGCTACACGATAGACTGGTGTTGCTGTTGGTTCCATGACATTGGCCCTAAAGGAGCAGAGGCAGTGGAGAGAATCGTGCGTACTCAGTCAGTTTGTAAGAAGGCCACAAATACAGCGATGTCCATGTCTCTAAAACTAGAGCAGTTCTAAAAAAAAAGAATCTTGTGAATTCCAAGGGAATGCTCTTAGCACAAACAGACAAATCACATGAAAGAGCAGAGTTGTCGGTGACGATGGTGTCCCGTCATCTGACTTGGAGCTTGTGTGCCTACATACATGTGCATGCATTCAATATTAGCCACATCTTACCAGAGAGCATGTTTGCCGTGTCAAATTCTGGTGACTTTGCAGACCCTGGCTGATTTGATTCTGGTGACTCTGCTTAAAAGCCGGACATTTTGTCAAGTCGCACTCTGCATAAGGCACAACCAAATGCAGCAAGTACCTCTGAAAACAAACACGGCTCTTTCTTTTTTCTCTATGAAAAATTCCTTTAGCCAGGTAATGCAGATTGGTCAGGGCATAAGCCTGAATAGTCAGTAAGTGAGGGGTTGCAGTAGGAAATCACTGAAGAGGAGACGGTTTCAAATAGGAAATAGGTTGCAAACCGGAACGGGCTCAATATTCACTTTCTCTCTTGGTATTTTGATTAGAAAACATAATTATGTCACAGTGGGACTACAATGTATTTTACTCAGAGCCAAAATTTCATGGCTCTGCGATGACCAGAAGCGCCATACCAAGCAGGTGAGTTTTTGACTTGTTGCTTCGCACTGCGACTTGAGTTTTACGTCTTTCGAAAAATCAACTTCTTGTCGCAGGTAAACAGCGGCTCGCCTCTCGCCACTAAAGCACCGCATGCCAATGAAAACTAATGGAAGCACACACAAGGCTTATTGTTACTCTGTACTGGCCGTCGTGGAGAGATAGCAATTACCTAATTTCAGAACTCAGAATGAATTTGACGTGCACTCTAAAACCTTTCCGGTTTGGAGCCACCTCTGATTTGAAACGAAAAATCAAGCAACTTGGAGGCAACGGGCCAACACGCAGGAGTAGCTCAGTTCGACCGACTCGGGCCTCAGAGCAAACTTCAACATGCCAGTTTCCTTCCACAAACATATTTCCAGTGAACAATCCACGCTGATGATCGGTTTGGGTCTACACAATTTTGCTGTCAAACCGTTCCGGTACGGAACCGTCCCCTCTACAATGTACATTCTGGGGCTGTAGCAGAGACTGCAGCTACTACAAGGAGTTAAGTGAATAGTTATGTTCACATGTATGGTGTATAAGGCAAGTTGCAACAGAATGCAGTTTCTCTCTCTCCCTCTCCCTCTCCCTGTCTCTCCGTCCATCCGTCCCTCCCTCCGTCCCTCCCCCTCCCCCCCCCTCCCTCCCTCCGTCCGTTGGGCCGTCTGTCCGTCTGTCTGTCCGTCTGTCTGTCTGTCCACCTGCCCTCACTCTGTGTGTCTGTCTGTATACATGTCTATATCTCAATAGCAGACTTACCACAGTTGTAGGTATAACAGCATGTTGCCTCATCCCATGTCGTTTTGACTTTTTGATACTAAGCACGAGGAAAGAAAAATTCAAGCACACAGCAAACAATGACCATCGCCCAAGTAGACTGAGGCCTATAGGCTAGCAACGTTAGGGCATGTGTTAGCCGAGACTACCGCATGTATCTTAGGGAGCCCTGCACATAACCCATGTCACCCAAACTACAACCGTGTACCTAAACTCAAGGTGTGCCAGCATTCTGCTCTCTTTGCTTCTGAGTTTCAGAAAGTAACTCACCGAGATGATGGAGTGGGTAGAGTGACATTGGATGACACCAGAGCAATGAGTTTCTGAAAGTAACTCACTGAAATGATAGAGTGGGTAGAGTGACACTGGATGACACAAGAACAACCGTCTTATGGGAGAAAGGGTCAAGAATAGAGTAACACTAGTTATTGACTTCTTTGCGTGATGATCTTGGAAATACCGCTGCACTGGGTCAAAGTGCTGGCTGCATCTGCATATTGCAAGGGCACGGTTAAGCGCTACTTTAGGATGATGTCATGACTAATATTTTTAGAATGTCATGATGGTTTCGGGGATGCCAAGACTACTTAAGGAGGATGTCAGAATAACTAGCTCATTATAGAAATAAACCGGTGCAGATCAGGACTGACTTGACCAACGCAAGCATTTCCCTTACCTGGCATGCTGCACACCCAGGTTTGATCGGACAGTCGCAACTCTCTGCACACACAAACAACCACAACACAGTCGGGTAAGGGCAGCTCTCCACTCACCCCTCTTACATCTCTCAGCTATATCTGTGGCCAAAATGAAATTCAGAATCACTCCTGGATACAACACCATGTTTGTGTGTAACCATGACACATAAGCAAAAGGACACCGCACTCTGAATGTCGTATTGGCCTCAGATTACGAATTTCATTGCCTAGGACTGTGCACCCTGCAGTATTAGGCAACCAGTACAAGTTAGTTATGCAGAAAAAACACCAACGTACATTAACACAGGACAGCTGCAACCCAAGCTATTACTTTGGCTTCCAAGAAAGCCTCACAAACTAAGTTGCATCATTCTCGCCCTATTTCAAGGCTATTTGCCACCCCACTTTTTGGCCCAACCTAAATTACACGTATCTTCAGCTGTATCAGATGGGAATTGGTCACTTGCTTGAACTATATAGCTCCATCTTCATTAGAGCTTTGAAATAAACAAAAAACACCAAAATCAAGGCAAATATAATCACCTGTTACGCAGCATGCAGTAGTGATTCTCTTCTTGGCTGGTGTGCACTGCAGACCAAAGATAAACCAAACACAAGCCAACGTATGATCATGTCTGCAAACCAACTACACACCAAGACCTGAGAAGGGCATGTGCAATATCCACTCAGGAAAATACAGCCGTAGCGGTACATGAAGACAATCAGGTCATGGAAACTTCGGGCAGAAGCCATTTGAAGCGCCATTCCTCTTTCAAAAGGGGAATGACGAGATGGATAAATAGATGAAATTGAGGTGGATAAACAATACATTCGTTTGGAGTTTTGACGGCCTTTCAGTTGCCTCAGAAGCAAATAATTCACCATCGCCATCATCAGCCTATAAATCACAAAGTAAATGAAAAAAAACTGTTGGTGAAAGTTGCCTATCAGGGGAATGGGACTGTACCGAGAGCCTGGGAGTGCTTTTATTGAGAGACAGAGCAACGTGGGAATCAGACCGGTTTTAACAAAGTTCACCGACAGTACCTTGCTGCCGCTCTGCGGACTAATTCGGTCAGGGCAGCCATAGTTATCCGTACAGTTCTTCTCTGTAGGAGAGAGCAAGACATGCAAGCACAGGTGTAAGCACAGGTGTAAGCACACATATCATTTGTCCCCAGTATCAAATCAGGGATATTGATGCACTTCTTGTTTTTCAGTTTTTTTGTTTTTGCAAACTACCGCACACCGTAAAATTATACAAAGCACCAAAATCAGCCATGAGACACTTCGAGTGGTTGAGGTAAGGGAGATTCAGGATGCGCAGGGTCTCAGCTTCATTGCTACCCGTGAGTGCGCTCCGCAAAAAAAAACAGCTCAAGTTAAAGTATGTAGGAACGTCTATGGGCCAAATTCAACAGCAGCAGCAGCAACAACGCAAATGTACTGGCTGGTTGGGCTGTTTCACTGGCAGCTTTGACTGATATGCATGCATGGCGGAGCACGGTCAGTGTTCACAGTCATAAACCTGTACAATGCTGGTCAGTTTGTATTTCAGCCCATGAAACTGTGACATATTCTGGTAAAGCCAAGCAGAGAGAATATTAATACTTAGCAGTAGGACACACACTTCAGGCTCTTGAACATTTTGAAAGTTTCCACTAGTATACTTTCATGCCTTATTATTAGGTGAAATACACTCATACCTCGTTTATCCGGGCAGTCCGGGACCTTGCACTGCCCGTAACTTTGAAATGTCCGTAACTCCGAATCATATACATCTTGATGGGGAAAGTGCACAAGTGTGCACAGAACATGGCATGTGACGTCACTTTTTCCACACAAAGTGACAAAGGAGTAGTAATATTTCCACTGAAACTTGCCTCCAGGGTGCCCGGTAGACCGAAGTGCCCGTAACTTCGGGGTCCGGATAACCGAGGTATGAGTGTGCAGGCAAAATCAAATGAACATGAACAATGGATTAAATACAGCAGAGAGGTGATAGAAACAGTGCAAGGAAGAATAGCCAAAACAACAGCAACACCAGCCTTACTGCAAGAGAATCTGCAGCATTTCCCAGGCTCCTTATCCAGCAGCGAAGGTGTGTAGCACTGTATGCAACACACAACAAGTAGTAATACAAACTATGGTGTGAACAGACACGTCTTAAACGCAAAATGCATTTTAAGAATCAGGGCAGGTAAACAATGGCTGGTGAGCAGCAATATCATATCTATAATCACATTGCTCTGCTGCAACCCTTCAACATACACACGATACAAGAGAGATCGGACTGATTGATGATTGGGGTAGAGCCGTAATACTCACACGATCGCATGTGATGTTAGCAACGCATGTGTCCGTCCGACCTGAATTACAGCACGCATGCCACCATACGGACATACACACACACACACACACACACACACACACACACACACACAAACGCAAACAAACACACACACACACACACACACACATATAGAGAGCTCTGATCAATCTCCAAGAAGAATATTCAACCATGACAAGCACATCAATCGGTCAGCTACAAACAGTGTAGTGGACTTCTCCTAGCATCAGAATTGTCTCCTGACCAAGACTCTTTGCTGCAATGCCGTCTACCCAACATACATGCTTCTCTCCAGCTAAGCGATGCTATGACTTGATCTCTCCACTTTGAAAAATAATGTTTCTCGGCCCTGAGAGAGGCAGAGCAGGGTCTCCAAAAGAAGGAGTTAGTCAATACTAGTCCTGGCAGAGTAGGATTTCCAAGAGAAGGGGTTAGTCAATACTAGTCCTGGCAGAGTAGGATTTCCAAGAGAAGGGGTTAGTCAATACTAGTCCTGGCAGAGTAGGATTTCCAAGAGAAGGGGTTAGTCAATACTAGTCCTGGCAGAGTAGGATTTCCAAGAGAAGGGGTTAGTCAATACTAGTCCTAGCAGAGTAGGATTTCCAAGAGGAGTTAGTCAATACTAGTCCTGGCAGAGTAGGATTTCCAAGAGAAGGGGTTAGTCAATACTAGTCCTGGCAGAGTAGGATTTCCAAGAGAAGGGGTTAGTCAATACTAGTCCTGGCAGAGTAGGATTTCCAAGAGAAGGAGTTAGTCAATACTAGTCCTGGCAGAGTAGGATTTCCAAGAGAAGGGGTTAGTCAATACTAGTCCTGGCAGAGTAGGATTTCCAAGAGAAGGAGTTAGTCAATACTAGTCCTGGCAGAGTAGGATTTCCAAGAGAAGGGGTTAGTCAATACTAGTCCTGGCAGAGTAGGATTTCCAAGAGAAGGGGTTAGTCAATACTAGTCCTGGCAGAGTAGGATTTCCAAGAGAAGGGGTTAGTCAATACTAGTCCTGGCAGAGTAGGATTTCCAAGAGAAGGGGTTAGTCAATACTAGTCCTGGCAGAGTAGGATTTCCAAGAGAAGGGGTTAGTCAATACTAGTCCTGGCAGAGTAGGATTTCCAAGAGAAGGGGTTAGTCAATACTAGTCCTAGCAGAGTAGGATTTCCAAGAGGAGTTAGTCAATACTAGTCCTGGCAGAGTAGGATTTCCAAGAGAAGGGGTTAGTCAATACTAGTCCTGGCAGAGTAGGATTTCCAAGAGAAGGGGTTAGTCAATACTAGTCCTGGCAGAGTAGGATTTCCAAGAGAAGGAGTTAGTCAATACTAGTCCTGGCAGAGTAGGATTTCCAAGAGAAGGGGTTAGTCAATACTAGTCCTGGCAGAGTAGGATTTCCAAGAGAAGGGGTTAGTCAATACTAGTCCTGGCAGAGTAGGATTTCCAAGAGAAGGAGTTAGTCAATACTAGTCCTGGCAGAGTAGGATTTCCAAGAGAAGGGGTTAGTCAATACTAGTCCTGGCAGAGTAGGATTTCCAAGAGAAGGGGTTAGTCAATACTAGTCCTGGCAGAGTAGGATTTCCAAGAGAAGGGGTTAGTCAATACTAGTCCTGGCAGAGTAGGATTTCCAAGAGAAGGGGTTAGTCAATACTAGTCCTGGCAGAGTAGGATTTCCAAGAGAAGGGGTTAGTCAATACTAGTCCTGGCAGAGTAGGATTTCCAAGAGAAGGGGTTAGTCAATACTAGTCCTGGCAGAGTAGGATTTCCAAGAGAAGGGGTTAGTCAATACTAGTCCTGGCAGAGTAGGATTTCCAAGAGAAGGGGTTAGTCAATACTAGTCCTGGCAGAGTAGGATTTCCAAGAGAAGGGGTTAGTCAATACTAGTCCTGGCAGAGTAGGATTTCCAAGAGAAGGGGGTTAGTTAGTACAGTCAGACCTCGCTTATTCGGTCCTCTTTTATCCCGGTCCTCTTTTATCCCGATCCCTCGCCATCCGGAAGAAAATAGCTGGTTACAGATCTACAGCATACGTGATGCATCCAACATAAACAGTGTTCGGTTGTCCGGTTCCCTCGCCTATCCGGATATTTTTGTGGAAAACAGATGTGTGCGGTTAAGCGAGCATGTGTGACTGTACTAGTGTTGGCATTCTGGCTCTGACCACACTTACAGCACTGGCCACACTTACAGCACTGGGGACCTGGCCACACTTACAGCACTGGGGACCTGGCCACACTTACAGCACTGGCCACACTTACAGCACTGGCCACACTTACAGCACTGGGGACCTGGCCACACTTACAGCACTGGCCACACTTACAGCACTGGCCACACTTACAGCACTGGGGACCTGGCCACACTTACAGCACTGGGGACCTGGCCACACTTACAGCACTGGGGACCTGGCCACACTTACAGCACTGGGGACCTGGCCACACTTACAGCACTGGCCACACTTACAGCACTGGCCACACTTACAGCACTGGGGACCTGGCCACACTTACAGCACTGGCCACACTTACAGCACTGGCCACACTTACAGCACTGGGGACCTGGCCACACTTACAGCACTGGGGACCTGGCCACACTTACAGCACTGGGGACCGGGAGGAACAGGGCATACTGCAGTCATGTCACTGTGGCCAGACAGGCATTCCCTGTACAGCAGCAGCAGGAGGACAAATAGAGAGACAAACAGGTCACAATCACTCCAGGTGATGTATGCACCACAGTCAAGACAGAGCATGTGGTGAGCGTACTGTCTTTTTTGTCCCCACACGATACCTAGATGCCAACAGCAAGAGTGAGAAGTGCCCAAAGGCAACATGAATGCTATCATATCATGCACACAAGGAACTAAGCGCTACGACACACAGCTCCCACGTCATGTGACACCCCCGTATGCCGACAATCACTCACACAGTACTCCACCAAGTGCCATGGCAACACCAAGCAGCACATATCAGCACAGTGGCATGGATGAGTGAAGTCCAACAAAGACAAGCCATGACTATCACCAAGAGTTGCCAGATATGCTAGAATAGTACACGCAGCAGACGTGCTCTCAGGGTAAGTTTCACTTACTGTCCATTGTCGGTGTAACCCACGCTGACGGGGGATCCGTTATGAACACAAGTCGGACACGGAACACAGTCGACGCCATTGTATACCTCTCCGACAGGACATGTACAGCCTGCAGTATAAACACCCATACACGAGCGTTCACACAATACAGTGGTTTGGCATGGACATCATTCTTTAACACATGTATGGCATGTGCATGTGTGCATGCATGAACACATGAATATGCCTGACGCCTGCCTCGTGCGTGAAAATTGGAGCTACAACTAATTACTCATCCTCTTCTTCTTCTTGAGTAGGCAAAGAAAGATACACGAGTGTATGCATGGACCACGTACACAGGGAATACCTCCGTTGCTAATCTTATCCCCCCCCCCCCCCCACACACACACAGCACCAAAGCTACCATACAAACACGACACGCACTGTAAGAACGTAGAACGGAGGAGGTGGACAACAACAACAACAACAACAACAACAACAACAACAACAACAACAACAACAACAACAACAACAACAACAACAACAACAACAACAACAACAACAACAACAACAACAACAACAACAACAACAACAACAACAACAACAACAACAACAACAACAACAACAACAACAACAACAACAGCGAGGCAGCGCAACGGTACCCACCTTCGTGGAATTCCATGCGTGTGCATTTATCCCGGGTGCCGGGACAACGGTTTGGGCAGGTGCATGCGTCATACTCGGCTGTACCTGTACACTGCATAGCTGTGAAACAGTGGTAGAAAAACAGCAAAACAACAGCAGAACAATCCAAGTCAGATTCAACACTACAATACATCCTACACAACCGCTAAAGGCAGAACATCAGAGGCACAGCCGGAGCTACGCAGTTACCATCAGAGCGACAGAGCCACAGTACTACTGAGCGGAGGGAAGGGGGGGGGGGTGGAAAGTGCTCGCTCTCTCTGTCTCTCTTTGCAGGACAGAAATCAGTGTTCTAAACTATTCGGATGGAGAGCCAAGGATAAATGTACAAGAATGAAAAGGACCAACGAACTACAGGTTACAAGTTACAAGTTACTGTAGTTGTTTAGTAGCTGGTGGTGTTAGTGGACATTATAGCGTAACTTGTTGTTCCTTGGTCCTTTTCTTTCTTATAAAAATCTAAACTATTCCTGTGTACTTTGCTGGGTCACTGTTGGTAAGATTCATCAGCACCGTCGACTGACTAGTCCACAGCAAGTATGATATCAGTGACACTGCAGAACTGCAGAAGACAAACACCCCCGCCTGCATATGAACTACATGTACTTACGGCATCCAAACTGCTCTCTCCACTTGATGCAGAGGTTCTTGCGGCCACACATGTGGGCATAGTGGGCTATGGAGGTGCACTTGCAGCGATCATCTCCCGGCTTGTCACAGGCACATGTTGATTCTATACACCTATCCACATAGTAAGCAACGTCGATCACATCGCGACACGCAGCGAATACCGGCGACCGCAGTGCCTCTTCACAGATCGCCTTCGCCTCAAGACGGCGAAGACCACCCTTCAAGTCGCAAGTTGAATTGTACTGGAACGGTGTGTCCAGTGCGTTTGAATCCACCTTCCAGGAGTTGCCAAAGGCGTAGACATTAGCCTCGACGATTCCTGTGCAGTATAATAAGGTTATACAAGGTACAGCATTGGCTGGCTAGTCGGTTGATTGGTTGGTTAGCTGGCTGCCTGCTTGGTACAATGATATGGGCAGCAACACTGTGAAAGAAAAAAACTTCATTAACAAGTGAACTGATGACCCATTAGCCGATGACCCAGCTCCTTTGGCTGCATCGTCTCTTCTAAACCATGCCAAGCTCTTACAACAATATCTTCCTGTTTGTCCAGCCCAAGAAAATAAAGACAAAAGAGTCGAGACAACAATAACGACAATGACGACGACAACAACAACAACACCATTGACAGCGTTTTTAAATCAGGAGGACTTTCCCTTACCACTTCTTGATTTGAGGTCGTTACTAGCGTCTCCATCAAAGTCACCACACAGACCCACCATCTGTCCCTCGTAGCAAGGATCTACTTCCACGTATACACGCATTGAACCATCCCAGGACACCTAGGTAATTGGACAACAAAGCACACATAAGCTTACTACATCTGCTCTGGTGATGATTCACCGCACGAGTACATGACTTGGAACTCAACAATGGTGGCGATACGTAGGGTGAACTCTACGCCTTCAGTGGAACTGAGAAAAAAAAACTTCTCGAGCATAAACCCGTGTCAGCCCATTTCTACCACACCCGTATCCTCCTCAAGCGGCGCAACCTTCTCTTTACTCCTTCAAGCAGCATACAATACAAGCACAGAGGTCAACAAGGACGTACCTTGAATTTCCGTGCCTCGTCCTCAACTACGACAAACAGATTGTTGTACATGATTCTGGCAGTACAGATATCATATGGCAGGCTGACAGGCACATTATCAACTTGTACTTTCAACTTCTGATCCAGCTCAATCACATGTCCCGTGCTGTTGAACTGCATGGAGAACAGAGGACAATGAAATCGAGATTTAGATGAACATGTCCTACAGGATCTTGGTGCGTGCAATCCAACTCGGCAGCAAGCTACATCACGCAACTATTGGAGGGGGAGGGGGCATTTGTCTGATCACAGAAAAGGGTAAGTATGTGTTCTGGCGAATATCCCAACATAGCATACAGCATCTTAGTAAAAGAAGCCCCCCCCCCTCCCCCGTTCCCCCCAGGATGCAAAAAAAATTAATGAACGTTCCTCCAAGCCACACACCCTAGTGCTTTCAAGTCAAAGTATCTGCAACATGTCCACTGTGTGCTAAGGGGGCTAGGGGAGGATTTCGATCAACACCAAGTACAGCCAGTCGGGTGTCGGTGCTGATATTGGAAAGCAGAATGTTAGTATCTAGTTGCAGTGCCTGACACCCTGGTGATAACAGTAGTGGTGGCGTATTCAATTCAAGCGGCTTGCTGCTGATGGTGGTGCAATGGCAAACACTCCTTACCGGTGCAAGGTGAATCTGAACTGACTTGGTGCACGTCACACCATCCTCACCGCAGTCCACATTCTCCGCCAGGATCATGAACTCCTTCAGATACTGCGCCAGCACATATTTTGTTTGACCTTGGAAGCTGTAGCGGAGGCCATCAAACGTCTCGTAATGGGGATCGCCCGTTGCCGCACAGAATCCTACGTAAACGCAAGACCACAGCGGTGAGCTAACAACCTACCACTAACACAATATCACACTGATCAGCTAGCTTACTACCACTCACTGCACAAGACCACGCTGGTCAGCTAGCTAACTACCACTCATTGCACAAGACCACACTGGTCAGCTAGCTAACTACCACTCATTGCACAAGACCACACTGGTCAGCTAGCAATGCCATACCGTCTGGCAGAATTCCAGAGTCACAGAGCGCAGATGCACAGGAATGATAAGCAGAAGATTGATATACTGAACATGAGATTGATATACTGAACATGAGATTCATCAAGAGCATGGGTCTAAGGTAGACACAAGTCCTAAGTTCGCACTAGTCGAATCTGCTACAGAAACTTCTCCAACAGGCGACAAAGGCCACAACACGACTTAGAACCCTCCCCAGTGTATTAGACTAACCTCTGCAGCTGCTCTTGGTGCAGTCCCAAGCTCCATTTGTGCAAGTACTAAACACGCAAACATACATAAGCACAGATAATTGATATTGGATATGGCATATCTGTCATGTCCCAACATAAGGGAGAGAGAGATTGAGGAGAGAGAGAGATTGAGGAGAGAGAGATTGAGGAGAGAGAGAGAGAGAGAGAGAGAGAGAGAGAGAGAGAGAGAGAGAGAGAGAGAGAGAGAGAGACATTAGAGAGAGACATTGGAGAGAGACATTGGAGAGGGAGAGACAGTATCCAACTTAGTATTAATTTAAAGCTGAAGTAGTCCAGCATATCAGCAAGAGAGACTATGTATGGCAGTATCACACAGTCATTGGATATACACATTGTAACTATGTACGTGTGCTGCCATGCGCACAGGACCACTTAAAAAGAAAATTGATTGAATGCATGAGAGGACGCTCATCATCACACTCGGTGGATTCTCTTACCAGTTATTACAGCTAAGGGGATAGACAAAGCCGGATGCAAACTGCTTCGCTCCAAACACACACGGGCACTGGTCGCGCTTGACACAGGTTGTGTTCTTGTCACTGACTTGAAAGTAGCCATCGGGACACGTGCAGCGATCTGTGCATTTGCTCTTTGCACAGTGTGTCGGGTTCTGGTTGGCGCAGGTGGCTTCACACGGCGAGACACACACCTTGTGCACCTTACCATCCGTGCAGTTCAGCTCTGATTAAACACACACGTACACATAAATACACACACACACACACACACACACACGTACACGTAAATACACACATACACACACACATACACACACACACACTACTACTACTACTACTACTACTACTACTACTACTACTACTACTAGCAGCATGACTGCCCAGCGGGGCAAGTGTCACCCCTATGGAAAGGGGACCAAAAAACGGGACACGGATCACAAGCAGGACCGCGAATGTCTGGCACACACACACACACACACACACACACACACACACACACACACACACACACACACACACACACACACACACACACACACACATGTACATACACACTGAATGGGATTTGTGGTTATTGAAATCTTCAAATTTTTGAATGATTAATCCAGTTCGCTTCACGATCGTTTCCCACCATTACGAAGTGCTTCCTATAATTATCGTGTGTGTACGAGCACTAAGATCCATTATCAAACATACATAGTGTTATGCTGACTTACGACTGGCAACGTATGGTACACAATCCCATCCTCCGTTCTTACACGTGCTGCGCAGGAAAGACAGTAAAGAACACACTACCCATAGTCAAAGGTCTACCTAGGCGAAAAGACAGGCTTAAAAAAGGTAACAGTGAAGGCAAAACTACAGATTGTTCATAGAAAATTCTGGCCATAGAGGTAGGAGGTGTTAGAGCTCTCCTGTTTAACAGAGCACGACAGAGTGAGCGCGGTGTTTATCTCCTCTCCCTCGTCACCATTAGCTCTCCAGCCGAAGTCAGGTATTCAACTAAACTTACTGGTACACATGCACCCATCACATTATGAGGGTAGCCACTGAGATGCCTGTGAACACGACTCAGCTGTGAATACAACTCAGCTGTGAACACAACTCAGCTGTGAACATGTAGAGCATGCAGATTCTTCAATCTTGTACCTGTTGCATTGTAGTCTAGTGCCTGTGTCACTGTAGCTTGGTGTGTTAAAACCTGTACAGTAATAAGTAGGGCTGAGTCGGGTAGCATTTTCTTCGGGTATCGGGTCCGGGTAGTTTTCCACGGGTAGCACGGGTACCCGATCGGGTAATGTTTCCATGGTAAGACCACAATGCACACCGGCCCCTTCCCTTGCGCATTGGGTAGACATGCGGGAATTATTTGTACACGTGCACTGTACATGATGTCATCTGCGACCTCGGGTTTTCGGGTAGTATTCGGTACCCGACTACCCGAGGTCCTCACGGGTAGCACGGGTACCCGACTACCCGTGCACACCACTGGTAATAAGACTAAATGCGCACTCATATCACAACCATGGGGACGAATAATGTATTCCAGAACGTTTTCTTGTCACAATAATCACACTGCACATGCATGTCCATTTTCACACTGCACTTGCTGAATTTCCTATCATTTCTCACCTCACCTATAGTTTTTATTACCTGTGCAAATTGTTCCTAGGTTTGTGCTATTTTTCTTACTATGCTTGTATCCTCGCTGTTTCACTCCAAGTGTATAAATCCTATTGTAGTGTCATCATTCTCTTTAGTCACGAATTCCATTGATAATTGTGACAAGAAAACGTTCTGGAATACATTATTTGTCCCCATGGTTGCGATATGAGTGCGCATTTAGTTATATCCATTGCATTATTAAGATTATTGTCTCCACGTCGCCTTTTTAGTAATAAGACTAGTATTCTTTGCATGTGAGGTTTGAACCTACCTTTTTCAGCAGCTTTCCTTTTTTTCTTCACTTTCTTCCTTTACATGTCTTCTGATTAACCGAATCTGTGCCATCTCTCTGTCTCCTGATTGGTCTAAACCATTGCTCGTTGCTATGTGAAACCTGAACTCTCTTAGTCTTGGCACCTATAAAAAGCTCTGTCTCTGAAGAAAGATCATCCTTCATTTCTTCAAGTAACTTCTCCTTGCTCTGGTGAGACTTGTTGGTTGCTGTGTGCCCAACCACTTGGGCCATGCTACAACTGGTGGCAGCGGTGGATGCTTCGGTTTTTTCTTCCTGCTATGTTTTTGTTGTTGTGACAATGTGAAGTGATTCCTGGTTCGGAATGGCCCAAGCACAGCCTAACCAGCAAGTACCGCCGGCCCAGCCGCCCCGCCCGGCCCAGCCTGCTCAGCCAGACCAGCCAGCCCAACCCGTTCAGCCAGCCCAGCCAGTTCAGCCCACCCAGCCAGTACAGCCCGCCCAGCCAGCTCCCGTTCGACCCATCCGGCCATGGGCAACTCCGGAACGTTTTGATGGTGGAGCAGCCTCGGACTGGACTACTTGGCGTGACCACTTCACTCAAGTTTGCCTGGTCAATCAGTGGACGCCGCAGGACCAGGCACAGTACATCCCTTTGTACTTGATACATAATGCGCAGTGCTACTACCTGTCACGACACGCCAGAATGTTCAGCGAATACTGGTAGCTTTGGAGGGTCGGCTTGCTCCACCCGTCAGAACCGACCTCCACAGGGCGGAATTGAAGGCCAGACGACAGCGAGGTGAGGAGGCGCTGTCTGACTACTGCGAGGTGATTCGCCGATTGTCTCGCAGAGCGTACCCTACCTTGCCAAACCTCGTTCAGGACCAGCTGGCATGTGACCAATTCATCGAAGGACTGGACAGCAGAGAGTAACGCATGGAGGTACGTCGCCAAGACCCCCAAACTCTTGACCAGGCACTCCAGCAAGGACTCCGGGCACTTGCCATACTCCAAGCGGACGCTACTACTAGCGCGTCTCAGCCAGTGGCCGCAGCTGTCTGTGCTGCCAGGGAAGATCGTTCGGATGCCTTACTAGTAAGGATGGAACGATTGGAAACTGCCCTGTCATCTTTGCAGCGAACGCAGCAGCAACCCCAACAACAGCGCCGCTGTTACCATTGCGGCAGTGCCGAACATCTGATTGCGTACTGCCCGTCTGCACCTCCACCCCGGGGACAACGTCAGCGCCCTTCGGGAAACGGCCGGGAGTTGGCATAGAGGGTCCAGCGTCAGCTCCAAACCACCATGGCCCGGAAGTGCTGCCCGCCGCGCCTTCCGATGTAGTATGCCATTCCGGATAGTGTCAGTTGGTGTTGAAAGTGTGTTAGTTTATAATCCAGCTTCTACTTATTACTAGTATCCAACTTCTTCTTATAATGGAGGGTCTCAAAGCGATAATTTCGATGAAGAAGGAGACTTGCAGAGGGGAGAAGCTTGGTATTAAACTTGGACACTTATACACACAATGAAGAAAAAAGAGACCAGATAGTCCTCCAATGTGTGCAGCAATTGGAAGCAAGCGCCACATTGCAGAGTCAGCACCTGCAGCAACAACAGCAGCAGCTCGCACAAGGGCAAGAGCAGCAACTGCAGCAGCTCGCGCAAGGGCAAGAGGCAGCAGCCGTCAGGTCTCTTCTCTCAGAGTTCAGCAACATAATCTCAACGGGAGCAACGGATCTTGGCTCTACCGGTGTTGCCAAACACGACATCGAGACCATTGGCAGCCAGCCTATTCGCCAAGCTCCAAGACGATTGCCGCTTCACCATGCCGATGAGGCTCGTGAACATGTTGAGCAGCTTTTAGCTGAGGGTTTAGTCGATCCCTCCAACAGTCCTTGGGCAGCCTCTATTGTTGTTGTTGTTCGGAAGCCTGATGGAGCTATTAGATTATGTGTCGATTATCGCAAACTCAATGCTGTAACTGTCAGAGACGCAATCCCCATTCCGCGGATTGATGATGCAATAGACAACATGGGTGACGCACAGCATTTCACAACCCTAGATCTTGCATCCAGTTACTGGCAGGTAGAGCTAACTAATGCAGCAAGGGCGAAGTCAGCATTTGTCACTCCATTTGGATTGTTTGAATTGAAAGTCATGCCATTTGGGTTGTGCAATGCCCCAGCAACTTTCCAGCGTCTTACGACCATGGTTCTGGGTGACCTTGGGCCAAGCGTATGTTCAGCATACATAGATGACACCATACTTTCTCGAAAACATTTCAAGAACATCTGGTTAGACTGCGCCTAGTGTTTGAGAAAATCCGGGCAGCAGGTTTGAAGGTCAAGCCTTGTAAGTGCCAGATTCTGAGCAAGTCGGTTACGTAATTAACGGTATCTTGGGCATGTGTACAAGGGAGGTGGTGTGAGCCCTGATCCCAAGAATTGCAGTTCGGTCACCAGTCTCAAACCGCTTAGCTCTGCAACCGTCGTCGATTTGTAGGCTTTGCTTCCTACTACAGGCGATTCATCAAGGACTTCGCGACAATTGCAGAACCGCTACACGAGCTCAGCTGTGAACACAACTCAGCTGTGAACACAACTCAGCAGTGAACACAACTCAGCTGTGAACACAACTCAGCTGTAAATACAACTCAGCAGTGAACACAACTCAGCTGTGAACACAACTCAGCTGTGAACACAACTCAGCTGTGAAGACAACTCAGCTGTGAAGACAATTCAGCTGTGAATACAAATCAGCAGTGAATACAAGAAAGCAGGAGTAAACTAGAAATGCCGTATGACGTACCACTTATTCACACCAGTGTCCATGTCCTTGACTTTGATGCTGCCTGATTTGTATGCTTCGTTATTGTCAACACATGAGCACTCCGATGGTGTCACACATGCTCCATGTGGTGTTTGGTCATGGACAAATCCTGGCTCGCACTCACAACCTAAGCAGATGACAGCAAGATACTGAGGTCAGGCATTGCGCATGCGACTCAGCAACATGAACATACACATAGCCAGTAGTACTGCCGGGCACCGAAGAACGAACAGGCAGTATCATTTCACCAAGCACAGCATACCGAAGAACGAACAGGCAGTATCATTTCACCAAGCACAGCATACCGAAGAACGAACAGGCAGTATCATTTCACCAAGCACAGCATACCGAAGAACGAACAGGCAGTATCATTTCACCAAGCACAGTATACCGAAGAACGAACAGGCAGTATCATTTCACCAAGCACAGCATACCGAAGAACGAACAGGCAGTATCATTTCACCAAGCACAGCATACCGATATAAGCGGTGAATTAACTGTACATAGACTGTAGTACATGATATATAAGACCGGCCGCTAGGCTACACCTAGGCTACAGCGCTGATATCCCCGTTCGTTGGCACACAAAACTACTGTAGCTCCGGGGCAACATCCAAGTCAGATTGTGAGAGCAATCACATCGATGAAGATAGCAGTGCCTGAACGCATGATACTGGCGATGGATTACAAGTACTTGATAAGTACATTGTTGTAATCCATTGCTATCTGCTACTGTGGCTGGTTTGGTTGGAGCATCCATACTCAGCGTACCTTCCAGACATTCAGTTTTGTTGCAGAGTGCTTCTTGTGACTTGAGCATCATTGGGCATGTGCTAGGGCAGGGCTGACCGCATTCCTTGTAGCGCTGCTTTGCTGGACAGTCAATTCCTGCAGTTGAATTCGGATAACACACAGCAATTTCCATGGAAAGGAGCAACAGAGACCATTACCGTGTTCAAGGCAGACGCCCTGTGATGGCCATTTCTGTACATATATTATTATAGGCAAAGTGAGTATTACATCAGTGACATCACTTCATCCACATCACATCACACAATCATTACGAAATCCTTCATAGACGAAGACAGGTGCTCACAAACAGAGTGCCTGAAAAGATCTTCAAGAAGTGTTTTGCTGCTATGATGACGAACAAAGCTTCAAACCCAGGTCACACAAATACAGGGCAGAGTTCATGAGGCACAATACACACGAGCACTGCAGATAAGGTGCAGCCGCCGCCGCCGGTGAGAGGCAAATCACACGGTGAACTACTACTCACTACACGCAGGGAAGTGTAGCCGCCAGTCGAGACGGACTCCATTCAACGCACACAGATGTGCATAGGTAGCCAAGCTCTGGCACAGGCAGGATTGACCCGGGATAACACTAGCCTGAATAACAACACCCAACACCCAACACACAACACACAACACACAATGCATAATGCATAATGTATTGTCAGAAACAAGCAGCACCACCTGGCCACATACAACTGCAGCCATGCAGACCACAAAAAACTGTAGGTGCAATGGAGCATGAGCAGCCAACACGGCACAGTACAACTCTCTCCTATTCCTCTCTCTCTCCCTCTCCTCTCTCTCCTATCTCTCCTTTCTCCCTCCCTCCCTCCTTCTCTCTATCTCCCTCTGTCTCTCTCTCTTCTGCAACTCTCAATAGATTGGGTTCCCGTACTGATATCTCGAGCATCAACACATCACAGTATTCGTCAGACACACACTCAGTGCCGCAAGCTAAAACGTACCAGAGCTTGATCGGGACACCTGCACACATCTTGCTCGCACTTCGTAATCAAGTTGCCGTACGCTGATCCAAACAGTGGCACCACATTCCAACACTTGCCAAAGATCATGGCAGAATTTAGCAACTTTCCGCAGCTTTTCTTCGATGTCTCCACCTGCACGCAGATAAGAAAGATTTAAGAAAGGCATTCAAGCAGAGAACGGTTTTATTACAGCCATCCTATGATATTCCATTTCACACTGCCACCACAAAACACTGGAAATCAGTTATAAAAGCATATACATGTATAGGCGCGGAGAACAAAGGAGAACTTACCGAATCTGGGCAGGTACTGGGTTTTTTCGCCACCTGACACTCAGCGCTCAGTTTACTTTTCTCAGTTCGCTGACCATCGCCAAAGTCCTCAGGAATTTGGCCCTGAAGATCATTTGCTGTGTCGCCGTCAAAATTCCCACAAAGACCCTGAAACAATGAAAATAAGAACAAGCATCCCAAGCAAATGACAGAATATTGTAAAAGCCATTATTCTAATGAGCTGCATATATTAAAAAAATTCCTAAAATTGACCGGTTTACGTGTACCAAAGGTTGTCACCCATTCTCAATGCTCACTAGCAATACTGTAATATCATGTATCGATTTCTGTATAAGGTTTTCTATTTCCCAATGTCAGAGTTCTCCTCGTTAAAGGGGAAGTTAAGGCAAAAATTAAAATTTCACCACTTGTAGTCTTCGGGGTGCTGAGTCGAATGGTCTTGGTCCGAGGAAGCTGAGACGCTCCCTTCCTACTTGAATCCCAATCGAACTCGCGCACTTCCACCGAAACTGGGTGACTGCGCCCTACGAGATGGGGATTTGTATGCAAAATGTCACTAAAAGCGCCATTTCGTTCTTATAAAAGCACGAATGACCGCGATTGGCCCATATGTTGTAGTCTTTTGGACGCTGAGTCGACTGGTTTTGGTCCGAAAAGGCTGCGATGCAGCGTTCCGCCTTTATTCCCAATCGAACATGGTTGAACAAGCAGTCACGTGCTCCTGCGTACGCCAGTCACCTGGTCACCGTGCCTGCAGGGTACAACTTACTAGCCTGTTTGACCTTTTTTGGGTGCAGTCCTGTCACTCGAGTTGAACTCGAGTTGAACCTTGGTGTGAAAGTTGTCACCTGCTGGCGTGGTGACCAGGTGATTTGGGCACCCAGGAGCACGTGACCACTTGTTCAACCATGTTCGATTGGGAATAAAGGAGGAACGCTGCATCGCAGCCTTTTCGGACCAAAACCAGTCGACTCAGCGTCCAAAAGACTACAACATATGGGCCAATCGCGGTCATCCGTGCTTTTATAAGAACGAAATGGCGCTTTTACTGACATTTTGCATACAAATCCCCATCTCGTAGGGCGCAGTCACCCAGTTTCGGTGGAAGTGCGCGAGTTCGATTGGGATTCAAGTAGGAAGGGAGCGTCTCAGCTTCCTCGGACCAAGACCATTCGACTCAGCACCCCGAAGACTACAACTGGTGAAATTTTAATTTTTGCCTTAACTTCCCCTTTAACTCGTTAGATTTAGCACTTCGTTATATAATTATAGGGTTTGTACAGTAATCATCTCTAAACAAGAATGCAGTCAACAAGTTTCAGAAGAGTGACGAGTGCACCCTGTAAAATCTGCCTTCCACTCGTAGAGACTAACACATCAAAGTGTTTTCTTTTCTGTCACTCACAACGGGTGCGTCAGAAATGCTTCCTCGCCTCTTCCAAACCGTATTCTCCTTTTCTATGACCCAGCTCCAGTCAAACAAGACTTATTGCGTGTTAACGCACTCTCCACATACAGGCATGCAACCGGCTCAGAACACATTGTTTTCTGGTTGGCATATCAGGGACATTGGGCGGAGCAGCTGGCGTACATGAGAAAGACAGGTCGGCCTGCTCTGCGCAGGAGCTGTGACCCGGTGCACATATAGTGTGTGTGTGTGAGAGAGAGAGAAAGAAAGAGAGAGAGAGAGAGAGAGAGAGAGAGAGAGAGAGAGAGAGAGAGAGAGACAGACAGACAGACAGACAGACAGGTCGGCCAGGAGCTGTGACCTGGAGCACACAGAGTGTGAACGAGAGACGGTCGGCCTGCCATGGGCAGGAGCTGCGACCGGTAGTGATTGAAATGAGCCAGCTGCGGAGATAGACTGCCCTCGCCCGATATAAGTATATTGACAAGAGTTGTACTGACACTGTGATTGAGGAAATTATGGTGACAATGACGGAGAGATAGTGATCCCCAGTCGAATGGGGTTGGGAGGGAAGGGAAAATTGACAACTGACAGACAAACCAGTGAACAGTCAAGTCGTCGGAAAACAGAAGTGACAAAGGAGTTTTCTGCAAAGCAAGATTTGGAAAGCATGCGTGGGAGAGTGGCGCGCACGCTACGCATGCGCATGTATAGCAATGGCATCATAATCAGATGCATGATCACCAGACTAAGTATGCTGGATCACCAGGTGGCATTGAAGCAGCAGTGCATGCCATGCAAGACATTTACAACGAATCGTCCACTGAGGGAGTGCTGTTGGTGGATGCCAGTAACGCATTCAACAGCATAAACCGACAGGCAGCTCTGCACAACGTTCAGCGCCTCTGTCCAGCACTAGCCACCATTCTTCTGAACTCCTATCAGTCGGAGGCACGTCTGTTTGTCGCTGGTGGTGGGGAGATTTCGTCAAAGGAGGGTACTACCCAGGGAGACCCGCTGTCCATGGCATTTTATGCATTGCCCATACTCCCCATCATTCGGCATTTGCAGCAGCAACACGACGCCGTTAAGCAGATTTGGTATGCGGATGACTCCAGTGGTGCTGGCAGGATGAGAGCGATTCGAGATTGGTGGACAACAATCCAGGAACACGGTCGCCTGTATGGATATTTCACCAATCCGGACAAAATCCTACTTCTCGTGAAGCCCAGATTGGAGGAGGAGGCTTCACATCTGTTTGAAGGCACCGGTGTCCGCATTGTCACCGGCAGCACTAAGTATCTGGCCTCATACATCGGGGAGCCTGATGATGTTGCCAGCCAAGTGAGGGAGAGGGTTGATGATTGGTGCAAGGAGCTACGCACATTAGCAAAGTTTGCCAGCACAGAGCCACACACGGCTTATGCAGCTTTGACTCATAGCCTGCGGGGTCGTTGGGTCTACCTCTTTCGTACGGTTCCCATTCCGGAGGACGCAGTATCAGCGTTGGACAAGGTAATCGAAACTGAGTTCTTGCCGGCTGCAACTGGTCGAGACGCATTCACCACGGAGGATTTGGTGATGCTCAGGCTGCCGACTCGTTTCGGGGGAATGGCCATTCCACACTTTCACAGCATGAGCGGGACAGAGCGCGACGCTTCCAGAGCAATGACAGCAGCCCAGGTTAGTGAAATTCTGCAACAGAACAACACATCATGGACCAAACAAGCACCGGAACGTGTTCGGCAAGATGCTATGACAGCCAAGAAGGATTTTGCCAGACAACTCGGCACAACAAGTGAGGCTGAGTTCCGCCAGCTGCGGCAGTCGGCGTCGGCGGATATGGCGCGTCGTTTGGAGCATTTGTCCTCCCGAGGTGTCTCTAGCTGGCTCAACACACTGCCTATCAGAGAACACGGATATCATCTGTCGAAGGGAGATTTCAGGGATGCGGTGGTGTTGTGGTATGGCTGGGCATTGGTTGATGTGCCTACTAGTGTTGAAACGATCTCACCGGATACTCGTTAGCTCGCTCGCCAGAAACTCGGCTCGTTTGTGCGGCCAGCTCGTTTGCACTAACGAACACCGTACTCCGTGCACATGGCAGTACATGTCGACCGGGCCCGCGGGGCCGGGAGTCGTAAAATAGTTTACGACTCCCTGGCCTGGTCGATCGAGAGTCCATGGGGGATCCAGTCCCGCGCAAAGTGAAAATCACTCGCAGTTACAGTAACTGTATGCCTGCACGACACTTGAGTTGTTTCAGTTGTCATTGCAGCTTTGGTGGACTCTACTGATGTCTTGTTCTGCATCTGCTGACCTGTCGCAGGATATGCTTCGGTCACGTCTCCATTCGAGTGAAAGTTACGCTAAGTCGTTTGGAAGTTTTCTCCCGCGATGCAGCGAAGACCAGGGCTACTTGCAATCTTTGCAAAACGGTCTATTCTTACAAAGGCTACTCGACGACGGCGCTGAAAAGACATCTTGATACCAAACAGCAGTCCGAAGTGAAGCAGCAGCAACCCCAAATACCGGCGGTGATAATTTGAACCAGCTGAAAAAATCGAACTTAGAAAATTTATTTGTCCATAAATCATATTAATTTTGCCACATCAATGAAACTCGTTAGCTCGCTCGATAGCTTGCTCGTTAGTGGAACTGATCGCTCGTTTGTTATAGATACGCTCGTTTCAACACTAGTGCCTACTACCTGCTCTTGTGGCCAACCGTTTAGTCCGGCCCATGCCATGTGTTGCCCTACTGGTGGTTTCCCCACCATTCGGCACAATGAAGTTCGCGATATTCTTGCCGACTTACTTACTGAGGTTTGCTCAGATGTCACTGTCGAGCCTCAGCTTGCTCCGGTTTCGGGAGAGGTGTTTCTGGCAGCCTCAACTATCACCGCCAACGATGCTCGCGCTGATATCCGGGCTCAAGGGCTGTGGACCAGGGCACAGAATGCTTTCCTGGATGTCCGGGTTTTTCATCCCGATGCTCCGTCCTATGCCACCAAACCTCTCGACAAACTGGTGGCGGAGCATGAGAGGAAGAAGAAGCTGCAGTATGCTGAGCGCATCATCAATGTGGACCATGGGACATTTGCTCCACTAGTTTTCACCACGGCCGGTTGTTGTGCGCCAGAGTGCTCCAGATTTGTCAAGCGCCTGTGTGGCCTCATTTCGAGTGGGGACACGAAGTTGTATGCCGAGACAATGACATATGTCCGGTGTCGACTGGCGTTTGCATTGTTGCGGTCGGCGATCATGTGCATCCGCGGTGCCCAATCGTCATATCACCGTCCTGTGAATGTATTGCGAGAGTTGGCAATCTCGGAGGGCCGGCTGTGAGGTTTTGGAGACGATGGTGGCAGGACAGTGCCCTTGTATTTTCCTGTTTTTTTTTGGTGTTTTTTTGTTTTGTTTTTCTCGTTTTTTTGCGTTTTTTCACACATACAATTGTTTTCATTTTTTGGTGTTGTGTTCTAATCATTCGCCATGCCACCGTCAATTGTATTCTGTTTGCCCGTGAAAATATTCGGCGGTATCCCTCGTACTCATGGGATAATCCAGACTAAGTATGAGTGGTAGATGTTCCATGTTCGTTAACAGGGCTTAGCGCACACGCTAAACCACCAATAGACTCAACCACTTCAAGCATGTGCCGCAGCAAAGTAGAAACACGGAATTATGGTAGTAAACGTGCGAAAACTTACAGTGATTTTCTCTGCAGTCTGACTCGGAGCCTTGTAATTCGAAGCAACTATGATGTAAAGACGTTCTGCTCCGTTCCATTCAACAACAAGGTCAGGACTGTGTACATCAGAGATCTGCAGGAACAGTGCCAGTAGTACAATAACGAACAAATCTCACTTTCTGGTACGAAGAGTAATGTCATCAACCAAAGTCCAAAGAACGGAGAATGTAGTTGTAAGCAGAGTTCAATATGAATCAGTTTACAACCTAGCATTAAGACGTGCACCACCGTACGTACGTGCGTACGTGTATGTGTGTGTCTCAGTCGATTTCCAATCGAGAGGTTGCGGGTTCAATTCCCGACGATTATGGTCGCACACGTCTTTATTCTCTTTCTCATTCTCCTAGCTCTTCTTTCGTTCTCCTGGGTGGCTACCAACAGCCAGTGTACGCCGGAGTATGTGGTGTAGCGTGTGTGTAAAAATAAAATGAATGAAAAATAGGGATTCACTGGCCAGAAAAAGCCACTTCAATCAGCTGTGTGGTGGATACCAGGCTAAAAATCAATGGCGGTCAATTCATCAGCCTTGCAAGCTGTTGAATGGTGTAATCCCGGCACAAGTTGCTATGTCTAACATAGCTGTTCGCTATCATCGCTTCTGCGATGGGCATGTCTGAGGTCTGAGGTGTGTGTCTGTGTAAGTGTGTGTGTGTGTGTGTTTGTGCGCGCGTGCATGTGTGTGTGTCAAACAAGACTACGTTCACTGACACAGTAGTATAAAGCCCAGTAGCCTCAAGATTTTCATGTGTACTCATCAGGATCTGCACGCACGTGGCCTGTCATGTAGCTCTGTAGGCTAAGTGCACCAGGACCAGGTGTGTGTGAGTATGAAGCAACTATTATCTATGGCAATAGGAGGTGAATGCATCCCAGTGATCAGCTGTTAGAAGTTACCTCTACTCGGCGGAAGTGAGACGAGGCGTTGATGATGCTGACCATAGCACCTTTGTAGGGCAAGGTCGGACTCTGTGTGACGTTGTCCTCACGCACCAGAGTACTCATCGGCTTCATGATCACTGTGGCTAACTTCCAATAGATTGCAACCTCACTGCACGAAACCATTACAACGGAATTGACATTGCAATGGCATTGATAGCAATGTTACACAGTGCCCTCTACCATACACTCCTCATCCCCATCATGGCTGCGTGCCGCATACATCCTGGATCATGGCATACTTCCCAAATCCGGGGTCCTAACCCAGGCTCCAGACCTGGGGTCAAATCCCCCCCCCCCCCCCCCCCGGGTCCTAAATCAGGGGTCCAGTACCCGGGGGTACAAACCAACATTCCAACGTTTCAGGCACTGTGTTCATGCGTTTTCTTACATATCCCCGTAGATGCAGCAACTCACTGATGAAAATCAATACCGGTTGCTAGATGTTGCTAATGGGAGACAAGACAAGAACTTGAGTGTAGGTCCTTACGACATGCAGTAGGACGTAGCTGCTACTGAGCAAGCAGAGAATTTGACTTCAACACTGAAAGAGTCGTCCGCTGCCTTGACAACTTCGTAACTGCACTGTGAGAAGGCGTAGTAGTAGACATTGGCATCCAGGGAGATGATGCGTGTGTTACCCGTGATAGAACAGGTACCTGCAAATGTCCAACACACAGGCGCACAGGCACAGACACACACACACACACACACGCACACATACACACACACACGTGCACACACACACACACATGCATGCATGCACACACACACACTCACCCACGTGCACGCACACACACACACTCACACACGTGCACACACACGCACACATACATACATACACACACACACACACACACACACACATACACACACACACACAAACACACATTTCAGTATGATAAGATGTCTTCCGCAACATATTCTGCACTCCTACTCAATAAAATCTGATCGTATGGAAAAAGTTAGCATCCTGCACCAGAGAACATTTCAAGTGCTGATAGTTCTGCAGTTGCACAGAGCCTACCTAAAGCCAGGACAGAGCCAGCATAGAGCCAGCATAGAGCCAGCACAGAGCCAGCATAGAGCCAGCACGGTGCCAGCACGGAGCCTGCATTGCCAGCTGACTCGTGTAATCAGATTACAATGAGCAATACTCTTAGTTTTCTAAGAACTCGCAGACTCCATTGCAGCCAATTCTCTAGTTGGAATAGAGACACAGTGGCAATGAAAGGCTCTGTAATGCTCTTACAAACAACCCGCCTCGCACATTGGCATAGTGTACGGTATAAGTGGAAATACTGCACTCTGCAATCAGCCATGCAACCTGCAGGTCTCTTGATTTCACAGTCCATATTACCTGAACAATCACGTGACGCGCAGCTCCACTTGCCATTATTACAAGTGCTGTACATTCATCAACAAGACACACATGTATACAGATAGACAGACAGACGGACAGGCAGACATGCACAGACATATATACACCCCACCCACACACTCTTACATACACAGATGCAAGCACAACAAAACACAAAATGCACTGTGATTGCTGGATTTCCTGGCACTAGAATGCAACAGTAAACTAGAGTAGACAAATAACTGCAATGGAAAGGTATACAGTGAAGCATTGGAGAAACTGCAATGGAAAGGTATACAGTGAAGCATTGGAGAAACTGCAACTTCAAAATCATGGCTATCCACTTGCCAAGTAGCGCATCGCTGGTGAACAGAAGCGCCAGGGTTGTATAGCGTTCCCATGTATGAGCAAGAACACTTGCTGATGTCGTAGCAAAGGCTGTTATTGACGTAGAGATGATCATCACAGGCACAGCCATCAATACAGTGATCGGAGCAACTCTGCGTGGTCGCATCCACAGCAGCACAGGACTTTGGACATGTCGAGTCGCATTCCTTGTAAACTTGATCTTTTCCACATGCTACAGCTGCAAGAATAGATCAGAATCAACAGCGGCAAGACATAATTCATGTGAAATCTCGCTGGAATTCTAGTGCAGCCTTCCACCAGAGTATGTAACACACATTTACATTTACTTGCAAACATGCATGTCAATGAGAATGATGTAACTCACGACAAAAGTCAGGCCTTCGCCAGCTCAGACTGTTGGCAGCGCTTGCACAGAAGATCTTGCACTGGCGTGCATACTCAGTGGCTGTGGAGCAAGGCAGTAGTCTGGAGTCCACACCGTCCAGAATGCCAGCGCAAACGTCACGTTCGCAGGCTTCCATGTACTTGTTCAGCGGCAGAACGGTTTGATTGACGGCATGACAGTCGGAGAATTCAGTATTGTTCAGATCTCGGCATCGCTGTCTGGCAACATCACGCTGTGCTGGTGTTAAGCGAGAATCCTGGCATGGGTCAACTCCCTGGCCACAAGAAAAGAAAACAAAACAAAAAACAACACATAATAATGACATGGTCAACACTATTACAATGGAACGTCTTTCGACTTGCAGCAATTCCACTTTGCTGGTCTCACCTACTGCAGGAGAGCAACATTGAAGGCAGGTAAGCACAGCAATCATCGGGAAGATGGCCACTAGTCATCGGGAAGATGGTCACTAGTCATCGGGAAGATGGTCACTAGTCATCGGGAAGATGGTCACTAGTCATCGGGAAGATGGTCACTAGTCATCGGGAAGATGGTCACTAGTCACCGGGAAGATGGTCACTAGTCATCGGGAAGATGGTCACTAGTCATCGGGAAGATGGTCACTAGTCATCGGGAAGATGGTCACTAGTCATCGGGAAGATGGCCACTAGTCACTAGTCACTAGTCTAGGTGTTGAAGTAGCTTCACACCACCATGTTTGCATATCATAGCTAACCAAAAAATCACAAATATTCCGTGAGGAACAGCCAATGTTCTGGACTGGTGAGTTTATTTTATTTTATTCTAGCTCTTGTCTCTTATTTACATTTTTCATATTTGTGTTCATGGCTGGTACTCATGGGCGGATCCAGCGATCTCTAGAGGGGGGGGGGTCCAGTTTAGTTAAAACTGAATAGCTGATACATGTACATCCACATTGTGACATACGTACAGTCTCCAGTAGTACATTCACCAAATTTAGGGGGTTCCACGGAACCCCTGGAGCCCCTTCTGGATCCGCCACTGGTACTATCTGCTTCATAGCCTTACCTTGTAGCTGATGGTTTCAATTGCAGAACAAAATGGCGAGCTGATACTGGATGGCCACTTCCATCGCAACTCATACACGGACAGTTTGTCATCAGCAATATAACCGGGTTCATCGGCCATGTTTCCGCACAGTCCATCGACACTCTCCTTGGCAAACATGATGTGAATGGTACCTTGCTTGTAGTCGAACAGGACCTGGCAACGCAGCGAACAGGAGAAGCACCATTAGTAGAACACAAGCACCATAAGTGGAACACAAGTACTGATCAGGGGACACACCATGCCAGCCGGAAGCATCCAGAGCACTAGCCGTATTGTGCTCTCAAAAATTAATAATAGAGCAAGACATTAGCCGGTCACATGGGTCAGAGCAAGACATTAGCCGGTCACATGGGTCAGAGCAAGACATTAGCCGGTCACATGGGTCAGAGCAAGACATTAGTCGGTCACATGGGTCAGAGCAAGACATTAGCCGGTCACAAGGGTTAGAGCAAGACATTAGCCGGTCACAAGGGTTAGAGCAAGACATTAGCCGGTCACAAGGGTTAGAGCAAGACATTAGCCGGTCACATGGGTTAGAGCAAGACATTAGCCGGTCACATGGGTCAGATCGTACAGCAGTGACAATAAGCACATCGCACATTGTTGTAGTTTGGCAGCACCTTACACAGCCACCTGGGCATGATTCTGTAAGGTGGAGAATAGTACATTCTTGATCCCAGCACGCTCACATGCATTATCCGTACGCAATGTGCAAGTAGGCTGCGCAAGAGGGCTTGGTACAAGAGGCATATAGCTCACCTTCCAATTGTTGCCAAAGATAATCACATAGTCGCCAATGTGCTCAAAGAAGGCATGTCCGACCTTGGTGGGTATCTTCTGATCTTGGCCCTTCACATGCACAGTTGGAAGTAGGTCATTGTCTGATCTGTACACACTGACGTCGATCTCCTTCCTTTCTCTCAAGCGAAGAAAGAGCCTCTTCTGACATCCGGATGCTGAACGGAGTTTCAAGCAAGAGTCCGTATTCTCGTAAGCGATATCCACCTTGGAGCTTTTCACCAGTGTGTATTGACAGCCACCTGTGCAGAAAAAAGCATGACAAAACAATGGCCAATGTCGAATAACAAACACCCAGCCAGCGACTATGACGCGAAGAATTTAATATAACAGGAATCAAGAGCTTGATTCTCCACACGATGACACAGCAGCAAAGGACTAGCTAGAACACCCATACCGTACAACAGTAGCACAAAGCCGAGCCACACAACAGGAGCAAGGCTTGAAACTGGTGACTGTTATGTGTTTCCACCATATTGCTGGGTCTTCTTCAGAATGCAACATGACATAGAGGTCCAGCCCCTTGCTTGGATCACATGACATAATATAGGTCCAGCCCGGGCCCTTGCTTGGATCGCATGACGTGATGGTGTCAGCACAAAGCACGGTATCACTTAGTAAGTTAGTATGTATAGAATGATAACATGCAGCACAATGGTGTATACCATTGTTGAATTTGAAGTTACTCCCGACCAAATAGACCATGTACAACTGGACTCAGCCCACAGTATATTGTTTTGATAACAGAATGGGAAAAAGTAGGTAGCTATTCATAGCATTGGAGCTTGAGCGTCCCGGCGACTGACCGACACTTGACGGCAGGAAATACGAGCTCCAGTGTTAGGAACAGTCACCTTCTAGCTGTTCTGCTCACTGTCCACCTCTGTTCACAAGATTGGCAGGACTGAGAGGATAGCCGGCCTCGCCAGCCCAGCATTTACCAGGCTACACTCCCCGAGCACAACCATCACAACTATCTCTTAGTATACAACCATCACAACTATCTCTTAGTATACAACCATCACAACTATCTCTTAGTATACAACCTAGCCAGCCTAGCATGTACATGTACCAGGCTACCCAGCACAGCCATCACAACAGTATGTATTAGTATACAAAGCCAGCCCAGCATTTGCTAGGCCACACAGCACAGCCATCACAACCATCACAACAGTATCTATGTTATACAAAAGCCAATAAAGGTCAAAACAAACACATGCCTCACCCGTGAAGTTGACGAAGCGGTTGTTGAAAGCACGGAGATGGTCGAAACCCCACACCGAGCACAGCGCGTAGTACGGCGATTTATCCATCTGAGACAAGGCGATGTGTGCTTTGACTGCGTAGGGTGAAAGCATTCAACAAGACCATATCAAAACAAATGCAAAGCTTACAGACTCCCGCCGTACACCAGCACATAACTGCGTGCCTCAGGAGTCATGGACAGCAACATTTGCTGGAAAGGATGTGATGACGTAAACACACGAAATATGGCAAGGGGCGTTATTCCTCGCAAACCATTCCCCGTGGATTAGTTGATATGGCAAGGGGCGTTATTCCTCGCAAACCATTCCCCCGTGGATTAGTTGATATGGCAAGGGGCGTTATTCCTCGCAAACCATTCCCCCGTGGACTTAGTTGTTCACCTAGTATAGTGTAGGGTATTTTCAGGAAATACAAACCTATTGGGAATGTACTGATTCATGTTGATAAGTCTACAGACAGTCAATACAGTCGATACATGTATCTGTGCAGCAGCTGTGCTCAACACACAACAGACCATACAGTAGCACAGGCAACAGGCTTTCAGTGGATCCACCAAGCTTACAAGCAAACGGTGTGGTCACGGCACGACCAACCAGAAAGTCATCCATCGCGTTTGTATCCTCCATCGAGTTTTCATCCTCCATCGAGTTTGTATCCTCCATAGGGTTTGTGTCCTCCATCGCGTTTGTATCCTCCATTGAGTTAGTGTCCTCCATTGAGTTTGTGTCCTGCATCGAGTTTGTGTCCTCCATCAGCTGCACCTTTGCCAGCATTGGATCCATATCAGGAAGCATTCCTAAAATTCACAGCAGAACAATCTATTGAACATTGTCATTGTCAAACTATACACATGATCATCTCGCTGAGATGTGCTCATCGCATAAATGCCAAACGCTTCACAGCGGCAGGTGAAGCTCGTCTGCAGTAATGGCCTAGATCATTGGCATGTACTTGTAATATTTGACTGATCATTCCATGTCCAATCCAGCCGACTAGTCCTATATTGCCAGAATGGTGACAGTGTTGATCAAGTGAGTCTTACGTTCCCACTCACACACTACCTGCACTGTGCCACACTTACGTTCCTGCTCGGATGCCGGGGCACTACATGCACTGCCACACATCGTCGTGTTACAGCACTTCTCAACACCGTCACAGTCACGGTCCACGCTGCAGTGCACTCCGCACGGCTCCATTGAGTCGACGGATATGGCGCTAGGGCAAACACCAGCTTTAGGCATAGCTGTATAAAGCGGAACACATCACACATGCACACAATGTGCACGACGTTCAGCAGGATGTGTGCAGGAAGAGGTGAGAGGAAGGTTGGCCAACGTGAAAAGGCACCCAGCGGCAACACAAACACTTTGAGCACTTGCTCCAGTTACTAGTATAACACAGGTAGGAGGACAGTCCTCACTAGTACACATAGTTGAACTTGCTGCTGTTTACCTACGTAGGTATCTACATTATTATGCTGTTGTGTTTTTGTTTTTTTGCATGTTTTTTTTCTTTTTTTTCTTTCTAGAACTTTGAGTTGAAGTTTTTGTAACACTTGGGATAAAATATTCATTGTGTTTATTTTGCCCGTAAAAGAGGCTGCTGATCACATAGTAGTGACAGTAGTGACAGCAGTGAGTTGCGAGCATTACTCAGTGAAGAATAGGATTCGACATACTGCCATAGTCAGTACATGGAGGGGAAATTAAATTTGACACGAGATGCCGACAATGTGTGCAGGTGAAGAAGGTCTGTTGATGCTTACCAATAGTGCAGTCCTCGCCAGACCAGCCCTCGCAGCATGCTGGTACATCCTTCATTACCGGCTGAGTGACCTTCTTTGCGACAACTATTGGCTGTAGTCTTCACACATCGAACACAAGCACGCACGCCCCCCCCCCCCCCCCCACACACACATACACACAAGCACAAATGATTGCAGTGATCTGGTGACTTAAAGAATCTGATTAGTGGTGGTGGTGGTGGTGGGGGGGGGGGGGGGGGGGGGGTAGCTAAGACTAGTGTCCATATGGGTGCACAGTAGTTCAAACAAGACAGTAGTTCAAACAAGACATTTAGTGGTTCAATCCATCGTGGCCTGCCTCTACTTACTTCCATTGCACGCAGTTATACATCTGCCCAGTCATCTCGTCCTTGCACAGGCTCCTGTGTGTCTCACGCTGAAGGCGAGTGACCTTGACTGTGTGAGAGACAACGTCCACCTAACCAACACGCACACGCGCACACACACACACACACACACACACACACATACACACACACACACACACACACACACACACATACGGTGTCAGTATTCCTAGGTGAGATAGAAGGTGGGTAGGTGCCGGGTAGGTGGTACGCACTGTTGTCCGATTACTAGTGGATGGCAGGGAACGGAAAGAAAATGAATGCTGGTGCCTATTGTTGTTAGCGTGTGGTTAGTTTTCTGTAATTCAAACCATTTTATCGTTTTGAAGTGTTCTGTTCTTATCACTTTGTCACCTCTTTCTCCTGCTTTGTCCTCCCCCGCCTCCCCCGCCTCCCCCGCCTCCCTCCCTCTCTCCTTCTTCATATTCTACTAGTGTAAGTAAGTACAAAGCATACTTTGTCGGTACTGCGCCTTTTGAATTTAATTTCATTCAGTTTGGAGTCAGTGTTACGAATTGTTCCCTGATGAGAGTAGCACGAAATCAGGCTGTGAACCGATCATTGTCATTGATATTGCCATACACCACTTCTTGGCTTACGCTCCTCACATTATCAAGTTTTCCCACACAGTATTATCCCAGTTTCACTGAACAAAGTAACAGTTCACGGCAGTGTTGACAGCACAACTGAACCAAGGGCGTCGGAACCGCACCGGCCGGGGCGGCCATGGCCGCCCCACTTTTTCGGCCGTTTTTTGTTGTTGTTTTGAGCACACTGCAACAAAGCGCGATGATCTCAGCGCAAACGTGGCAAATCCTTGTCCCCGATCGTGGTTTGTTGCAGAATCAAAAGTCCATGTACACTGAAATGGCACCAAAATGCCTGGGAATGCTTGCAATTGGCTTCAATTTTTGAATTTTTTCCTGGGGGACGGTAATGTTTGTTCCCGATCGTAGCATCTTCTTGGTTTTTTGCAGAATCAAAAAGTCTTTCATTGTAGTTACCGTACACTGATATGGCACCAAATGCCCGGAAATGCTTGCAATTGGCTTCAATTTTTGAATTTTTTCCCTGGGGGAGGACCCCCGGAACCCCCGCCCCCCCCCCCTCTTCCATGGCCGCCCCACCTCCAAAGTCGGTGTGACGCGCCTGTGAACAAAGTAACAGTTCACGGCAGTGTTGACAGCACAACTGGTCCTATTCCGTCGGCACCATGGTAATACTCTAACAAATTTAGTTGCAAACAGATGCAGTCCAGTTAGCCTCTTTCGCACTTTGTTGTCAGTGATTTGCTGAGTGGTTGAGCTTAGGTAAGGAGAGAGAGAGAGCGTGCACCAACTACATGTACTTGTAAAATAACTCAATCTGCGGACAGCATGCTGTTTCGTTCTTTGTGAACTCATCAGCGCAGTACAGAGGAAATAAGGCCGAACCTGATAGGAATGAAAATAAAATTTCCAAAGCCAGATTTAAATCAGGCCCGAACGTACCTTGTAAAATAGTGTAGTTTTATTTTATTAAAATGTACATGTACATGTAATGACTGCACTAGCCTACACCTAGCACCTGTGGTGTCAATCGTGTTCCCAAAACTGGCAAAGGTGCCAATGCGCATATGCATGCATATACAGTAGGTATCGGTTATAGCTTGGGTGTTTGAAAAACGAGTTTCTATTCTTATTTCCGATATTTCTTACACGCGATAAATATAGTGTGACGTATCATATGCATGTGCGCATAGCCAGGAAGATCATCAAACATGCAACGTAGTGCTGCTGTGTATGCGGCTGCTCGTACTTCCAAAGTAGTCCCATACTGGGCCATAGCCTGCATAGGTTCACCATGTGGCTGAGCAACATGAGTTACATGACCACAACAGACGCACTTGCAGCATTATGATGCAATTCGAGTCGGTTCAGAACTGTATCGGGCAGATGTTATTACTACAGGCGATACACTCTGTACTAATCTGGCATGTTTTGCTACACAAGGTCCATTCTTAGGACCGATATATTCTATTACACGACAACATTGCTTGTAAGAATAAAATTACACATGAAACCCATGTTATGATTATGAAAATATGAGAGTTTATTCTTGTAGGCAGTATATTCTTTTACACGACCACACTATAACCGATACGCACTGTACATGTACAGTGCGTATCGGTTATAGTGTGGTCGAATACAAGAATATACTGCCTACAAGAATGAACACTCATTTTTTCATAATCATAACGCATATTTTATGTGTATATTTATTCTTACAAGCAGTATTATCGCATACTAGAATATATCGGCCCTAAGAATGGATTTTGTGTAGCAAAATATGCCAGATTAGTGCAAAGTGTATCGCCTGTAGTAATAACATCTGTGCTCTGTGCATACTCAATACAATAATATGATTAATATTCAACACAAAAAGAGAGTTATGTCAAACTGAGCAAAGGAGAATCACTTTTTCTGTCCAGTCGGACTCTTTCTTCCGACTTCTCTCATATCTGCTGCTCCGCAGTCGCCTAGCACGACCGCGAGTCTGATCCGTGTGTATCATGTGTAGACCTACATGCTTGTACGTGTCCACATGCCAAACGTGCGCGCATAATTATAATTATGATACCTGTATGTCACACGTGCATATGATATGTCACACGTGATTTATCGTGTGTAAGAAATATCGGCAATAAGAATCAAATGTCGTTTTTCAAACACCCACGCTATAACCGATACCTACTGTACATGTATGTGACGTCACGACATCTACCATATTTGGCATCAATATTTCATAGGACATGTATTATTATTATTATTATTATTATTATCAAATTTTTGATAGGGCAATCATGTAGTGATGTACACACCACTGTCACCAGGACTACATGTGTTACTTTAGTTATGAAAGACTGGCCAGAGCAATTTTTGTAGTTTCAAGCTGAACGTACCTGTTTCTTTACCGTTCCACAGAAATGTCCTGCCGCCGCGGGAGTCTTCGGTGCCGCTGGAGGGGGATGAGGGTTGGGGCTATGCCGAAGCTGAGCTGCAGATTGGGATCCGGACTTGAGGTCTCCATCGAGGTTTCCGAACAGATCACTGAGAGCTTCTTCCTCGGAGCCCCTGTGGTGAAAAGCAGAGAACAGAAATACTGGAGCGGTGAATAACGTGTAAAAGCAAGTTCCCACAACATGTTGGTGAGTTTGTGATTTGAGACGGGTCTAAATAATTCTACTGAATAAAGTCTTCGGCTAGAAACGTTTGAAATGACTTTCGAAACTGAACACATTTACCTACTCACTACTGCTGTATTTGCATAAAATTATGATTAGAGTTGGCTACCCACGCGTACGGTGTACAAGTGTGTACGGTGCGTTGTCATGTCAACAATCATGATTTCACCGGTTCACACTTCACCAGCGAACAACGGTGAACCATGGTGAACCCTGCAAGGCTGCAGCAGTGCAGGCCCGTGCAGGGCCTGCACCCGTCATAACACATTAATTTTGTAGTTGTACAGCTGTGTATACATAATTATTATAAGTAATTAGTTGTTTTGACAATGACGGAGCGTAATGTACAAGGCTTGCATATACCAGTTGAGTTCAATCAAGGTTGTGTGCATGTGCAGTGCTGCTCAAAAAATTCCAGCCGCGTCACTCAAGTACGCGCCGGGCGTAGCGCAGCCCTACAGACCTGCGAACACTGAGCTGCGAAATGGTGCAAGGCTTATGGCGAGCAAGAGCTGAGTGATGAGTATCCCTGTGAGTGTGAGTATCCCTGTGAGTGTGCCAAATCTAGTACATGCCATGCTTTTGACTACATGATTGTAGCACAGATATCACGCCGTGCCGTGGGACAGGTCACACATATTTTGCACTAGCAGGTCACGCCACCGACAAGTATGTGCAGTGTAAAGAAACACAATATTACATGTATTAGCAATGCACACGGCAGTACCGTTGGCAGTATGCAAAACCACTGCAAAATAAGAAAAATCAGCCGTCACTGTGAGTGCCAAAACAGACCCAGTTGGTTGGCAAGTCCTGACCTGGAGTTTTCTGGGTGACGCCGGTTACCTCAAAGAGCCTTGCACTAAGCAGAGACAGTGCCTCTGATACAGCAGGTACGCCCCCCCCCCCCCCCCTCCCCATTCCAGTTTTTACCAATTCCCAGTGCTCATGGGATGTCCACGTACACTCTCAACTTGAGTCCGATTCCCGGGGCCTCTTAGACTTTTCTTCTTGCTCAAAGATGGCTGCTGTGTGCAAGCTGTACATGTACTTGTATTCATCTTGTAGTTCTCGGTTTCCCACACTCACACTCGATTATAAGTCGCATCCCACTTTTTCAGATTTGAGCCATATTGTTTCAATATAGTCACGTGCGTAGGAGGATTTCACACCTAGATTGTAAGTCGCAACCCCTTCTTTGCCCTTGAAGCTAAGCATGAAAGACGGTGCGGTGCGACTTGTATTCGGAGAAGTGCGCTGTTTGTATTTGTATTCCTCACAGGCCTTAGCCTCAATCAAGGGAGTATTTTGACCGTCGGCGTGTATCCGTCTATTTGACAGCAGAATGTGCAGCTACAACAGCCAGCTATGATGATAGATTAGGAGATGTGTCCGTCCTGCCATGATAGTAAAGCTGGGCATGGGAAATGATTGGGCCTGTAGCCAGGCGACCCGGGTCCATACAACCCCTCAGGAGGGGTCTCTATGGGACCTGCAACCACCATGAAATTCTCTCCGTCTCAGAGATGGACATAGGATGATGCCATCCTGTAGACCCAGCAGGCAGAATATACTTGTGGTATGAGTTTGTCAACTGTTCAAGTAACTCAAATGTCCCCCGTGACTGAGGCCAGTGTTTGTGTTTCCTAGAAAAATGTGACAGTTGCAGCATGCAGGTGTGTTGCCCTCTATCCGGACCGAAGGCAGAGTACAATGTACATGATCCACGATCCGTTCAATACTTCATTGTACACTCATTGTAGAGTATGTTCTCCTGACGGTCCTCTGTCATGATGGTGCCTAGGGCTAGGGATAACTCTTTGAATGCCGCAGCTGGTGTGCATAAAGGATGACAGGAACAGCAGGACTCCCTGCTGTGCTGGCCCTGCTACTGATCAGATGCACTTCTTCCTACAGATACCGGTACTGGCGGTGTGGTCTACAGTCCAGTGAAGGTGGACTGGGCTGGCCTGGCTGGCATGCCAGTTACTGCGCATTTCAATGCGGCCACGTTTGACATGTCAGTTACAGTGGGTGTTTGACATTATTAGTGTCAGCGCTTGGTGTTTGGCATGCAGCAATGGCGAGATGAGCTTGCAACCCAACAATCGTGACCCTCGTGGTCGAAGTAACTGAGAAAAGGTGCTGCACAGCTGAAGACATGTGTCTACAGTCTAGGCTTACAAGCTATACATAACAGTAGTAACTACGGATTAGCAGTTTCTTGTTCCTCCCAGTAGCATTCCCATGTCCGCTACAGTAGTCAGTAGTCTAGTTCATTGTGTAGTCTACTAGTGCTGCACAGCTGAGCGAGTCTGTAAGTACGTTACGGACGTGTGTGAGTATGTCTGTATGTGTGTGTGTGTGTGTGCGTGTGTGTGTGCGTGCGTGCGCGCGCGCGCGCTCCCCCGAGTGTATTTTAAAAACATTGGAGCTCACGCTTCGAACCCGCCACGCAGACTGGCTTGACTGACTCACGATTGTCGTCTCGGTCTGGATCAACGCGTCGAAGCGTGTCGAACCTTCCACTGCACATGGGGAAGTCTTCGACAAAACACGACTCCCTGCCCGATGCATTGTATGCAGTGTTAGTGCGTTGAGGGAATTCAGCCCGCCTCCCCCATCAGTTGAGCGGGAAGCGGAGAAACACGGAAACGGTGCTGCACTGCATGTTGGTATCCCTGATGTGGCGGGTGTTCGGGCTGAGAGTAGGCCCGTGGCCCGGCGGAGAGCGCTATTAGGGGCCTATTATATGTGCAACTCCAGCCCGGGCTGGAGCAAGCGGGCCAGCCCGCCAAAGGTGTTTACATGTGCAAGGCCGGGCTGGTCGCCAGCCCGCAGTGAGTTTATATGCGCTGAGCACACGCCAGCCCGTTGTGAGTATGTAGCAAATACACTACGACTGTAGTGTGCTGCCCCGGGCTGAAACGCAGGGCTGCAGGCCATACTCAGGTTATAAACCTAAAAACTTTTTTTCTCATACAATGTACTTTGAAGTATTCTTCTGCTGATTTCTTTTCGCGCTGTGGCACATGTTTGGTGTGTTGTATCACCTCGTTTCTTTTCCCTGTTTTTCACATTTTTAGCTGTCCATATCAAAGTAGTTTGCAAGTAGTTCCCCTTCCACTTTAATGTAAATCATGCATGTCAACAAATAAACAGTGCTCACTGTACGTCCTTCTTGTTGCTGTACAAAAAGCTTCATAGATTTTCAAGACAATATCGGGAATCCTCTTTATAGCTACCCTCAAAAGGTAAAAGTACCTATTTTGTAGTATGAACGCAGTGTAGACACCATAATAATATAACTCTGGCCCGGGCTGGTCTGTTTATTATGTGCTTTTTCTGGCCCGCCTAGCCGGGATCCCGGGTGCCTCGAGGCGGGATCCCGCCTCGCCGGGCCAGCCCGCTTGCCATGTAAACGCACCACAGGTTTTGTGTGGATTTGTGTACAACCCCGAGATCCCGTTGCAGGCGGGCTGGCCCGCCTGTCGACCAGCCCGGGCTGGAGCTGCACATATAATCACCCCCTTAGTTCTACTACACTGTATAATGCGATGCCCTTGGACATCGGAGCACATGTTTCATTGTCTACTGCAGTCTACAATGGTCCATGATTATTGATAGCATTCACCAATGGACACGATGGTACGGAGGTTGCTGGTTTAGTATAGTACCATCAGCCATTCCAAGTAAAAGTTGCTCTTTTTATTTTGGCGTCACTAGACATCCCAGTCACAAACGCACTGCTGAAGGCTACGGGAGTACTGCCTGTCAACGCGGTCATCTGCCATCTGGGCACCTGTGCCCCTGTGCCGGCCCTGTCAAGGTATCAGTGTGATCATCTGGTCACTTTCTGTCTGACCTGTGGGCCTGGTCAACGTAACTTAGTAGAGTGTAGTTTACGTCGTTACTCGTTAGCCTGCCTTCATTCATGGTCACGAGTGAGCTACCCACATGGCGGGAGTAAGAATGCCACACACAGTACTACTATCGTGTGTAGCCCAGGCCAGCTGCTGCTTGGACAGGCACTAGGCTAGGCTGGAGTTAACTAGTTGCCGACTGCACCTCTGCTCGTGCACGTGGTTTATCTTCTTCCAGTCTTATCTTGATGCACTCGCATGATCACCTGGATATGAGCATGAGGCCCCGTGCCGTAGTCAGAATGGACCGTTTACAGCGTGATTGTATAACTACTGCAGCTGCAGCTGCAGCTGTCTCTCATTGCAACTGGAACACCGGAACACAGTACAGTATCGCGGATGATCCCTTCCGCCACGAGGATACCGTTATCCTAACTGTTCTACACAATTATTAGCTAAGACTATGACGGGTCTGCAGGTCTGGCGCAGCAACACCCACTTGCACTTACATGTAGATCCACTATGTAGTCTACAGCTAAGCCTTGTCACTGGAACTCTTGCAGGACAGTCATGATTCAATCGAGCTATCAATGCATTGAAGAGTGCTACCATACAGCTGCCTCGGGCTACAGCAGGGACTGACTCTTGCCTGAACGGCGGAAGTCTCGCATGCACATCTGCAGCAAGGACTGGATAAACAACTCCCTACCGGTGCTTCATATTGTGTTACTAAAGTAAAGACCACTGGACAGCTGACGAGGAGGGGAGGAGATAACGCCATGAAACACTGACAAGACCATTTAGGCACAGGATCACCCTCCCGGTACCTCGGCGACATTCCATCAACGATCATGGTTGGTGGATCGGATCTATCCTCCCCCAATGTTTAGGAGCTGCGCCTGGTGCCTGATCGTGGCGTAGTGGAAACCTACGAAAGCATAAAGGTAGCTATTGACCTACCTGGTAAGCGCATCCGTAATACGTTTTCCCCGACACCGTCCACTCTAATGTTAGCACGTTATCACTCTACATGATTGTACTACTACTACTTACTACTACATGTACTAGTATTCCACGGTCTGTTTTGACCGTGGGATGCCTACAGTGCTATACGATGCACATGAGGAGATGAGGAGATGATACGGCTAGTGAGTAGAGAGTAGAGACAGTGCAGAGACGGTGCTATACGAGTACATGTAACTAGTACAGTGTACTTACATGACCTGTTGGTCGATACCATTGGCTGTGGTAGCAAGTAGTAATACGAAAACCAGGCACAGCGTGGCCATGGCGAGGGCAAGGAGCCCTGTCGAGCGTCGTATTCTCATCGTTGCAGGTCTCAGTAGACGAAGCGATGAAGGATCGCACTGTGGCAATAACAGCAGCACACACCTATGCGAGGAAGGACGTCGTCTAGAGCCTAGCTTGCCAGCTACCTACATGTAGCTGAGTTGCGAATGATGTTGCGTATGTGCTTGGAGAGCGGTTATAAAGTTATACTATGTGCCTGCACAGCCCGGCTGACTGGATTCTCTCTCCGCCTACCATTGCTGGATATACGGTGAATCTTTGAAGCACATGGAGAGAGAGCATCTATTTTTGGTAGACGGAAATTATGTGCGGTTTTTGGTATTCCTTAGCATTGCTCCGAATGGCTGAAGCTGTGGACAGGGTGTCGAGGGATGTAGCAGAGTTCTCTAGAATTGCAGAATTTCTTCACTAGGTTCCTGCCTGCTGACCACAGAGACCGCGATGACAGTCGATATCAGTCTATCACTGTCAACACACACACACACACACACACACACACACACACACACACACACACACACACACACACACACACACACACACACACACACACACACACACACACACACACACACACACTCTGTACATTCAAATGCAAGGCTCGAAGCATACTGTGACATGGCACATTCGCATGAAATTGAGACATCGACAGCCTGAGTATCTAGTCGGCGTTCTCCCCACTCCGGTCTCCGCTGCTTGACTCTGTTCAGACACTGAGACCGTAGAATACAATGTGTTATCAGTATACAGTGTGCTGGGCGATTAGATTTTGACAAGTGAGATATGCACCATCACGTGCTGATGGTGCCAGTGGGCCTGGTAGCCCATTGCTAGCTCGTGTGTTTGCCAACCCAGCAGGCCTGCCAGGTGACCTTTATGACATCGTGATACGCAACAGACAAATATTGGCGGGTATCACAGAATGAGGCCACCATTCAAGAAAAAAACTGAATGTTGACTAATTTTAACTTGACCCGTCCGTGATTTGTAGATGCCAGTAACCATGCAAGCACGGCGTCGAGCCACGTGCGTCAGTGGAGCTGTGAGATGTCACTTCTGGTGCAAACCTCCCTGGACCATGCTGTATGTACATGTAGTGTTGTGTAGTCATGTATGTGAACACCTGCTTGCTGCACATTCGCCGGTTCTCTTCAGAGATTGAGAGGCTGTCCGAATACCGATATCAGGGTACCGCAGGGGATATTAACCGGCATTGGACATGAACGCAATATGATCGCCTGCTCAAGCATCACATTGGACCAATCTGGGCGTTCACAAGTTCTCAGCAGAAGACTACTCACTAGCAGAAGACTGCTCACTGGGGTTGTTTGGTTCGCAATAGTTTGATTTGTTTGATAGCGCGGTTTGTCACTGGACGACTGGAGTTCGGCCATGACCGTATTGTGGGTTGCATATCAGATTATGGCGGTGTAGTAATCTGTATTCGATGTGCCTTCGTGCGGTCAGTGGTCACATGTTAGATGTTACGGTGATATCTTGACTCTTCAGCACGATCTGCAAATACAAAACTAAAGGGCAATCAACCATATTGTTGCTGCTGCTGCTGTTAGCAAGAGGGTATTAGCCATAGTCTTGCTGTTACAGTACCAAGGAGTGCTACAGTATCGGGTGGGCACTCAACTGGTCTACCTCCGCTGGCGTAGATTAGTGGCCGTAAAAAGTGCTAAGTATGCTAAGGAACGGCGAAAGGTTTTGTATGCCTCAAGTAGACACACAGAGGTTAAAGTGGAGGAGACAAGAAGATTAATATTCTCTGCATAGACCGCCCCAGAGGCTACTCAGAGTTTCCTGCACAAGCTAAACAGGATCGTGCATCAAGACTCTATACTATGGAGTATGGTTGAGAAGAGTATACACTTCACAGCAGGATATACCCTACAAAGGTTACGCTACAAAGCCTTTTTTAAGGTGATATTCATTGGTACCCTGGCACGAAGAAAGTAACCGGATGAGGTGTGATGTTACTGCATATTTTGCCGGGGTAAGAAGTTGCATGGAGTGCCAGGTGTGTGTGTGTGTGTGTGTGTGTGTGTGTGTGTGTGTGTGTGTGTGTGTGTGTGCGTGTGTGTGTGTGTGTGTGTGTGTGTGTGTGTGTGTGTGTGTGTGTGTGTGTGTATTTCGTCGACCAGGAGACCTGAAACGACATGCCAAGTTCTGCGCTCGTGTTCTCACTTGAACTTTCCGACATTCGCTATCATTGCGTACGCAATGGGCAAGATCAAGGTCAAGGTCAAGGTGTGTGTGTGTGTGTGTGCGTGTGTGTGTGTGTGTCAGTGTCTGCTCCAGCGCCGGGTGAGCCGGGTAATCCACCCGGTTGGGCGGCGCTTGGACCTGGTTGAAAATATAGTACCGGGTCACCTGTGACCTGGTTGGTACTTTACACTTTCGAACTTTGAAAGGACTGACTACATGGCTTGTACATGTATGTGTCAGATACTTCTTCTTCTTTTGTAATTTTCTAATTCCTGTCCTCTCTTTTCTAAATGCGGCTTATCCATTAGCCTTTATATCATTGGGCGTACATGTGTACCCGGCTCCGACCCGGTTGAAATGGTTGCGCCAGGGACACGTGTACCCGGCTGTCCTACAATCCTGGAGCAGACACTGTGTGTGTGTGTAAAGCGTTTGGCGCTCTGAAGAAATCGATATTCCACGATGTTACACTGACAATATCCATCAAACGGTCAGTGTACAATGCTTGTTTGCTGTCGACTCTGCTCTATGGGTCCGAATGCTGGGTACCGCTACAGGCTGATGTTCATGCGTTGTCTGTCTTTCATCTCCGTTGTGTCCGCACCATTCTGGGCATCAGTCGTCAAGATGTTTGGAATGACAGGATAACTAATGTTGAAGTTCTGGAGCGCTGGGGAGATACCTTGGACATGGAGTGTCGTCTCAGCAGACGTCGCCTTGAGTGGCTTGGTCATGTGGCAAGGATGGAGGATGAGCGCATCCCGAAGGCTCTACTGTTCGGTTCGTTTCCAAACGAGAGACCTGCCCATGGTCCGCGGAAAGGTGGCGAGACTGTGTTCGGAGTGACGTCAAACAACTTGACAACTGGTATGAAGTGGCAACCTCTTCTCGGTCCAAATGGCGCAAGGCGTACCGTTGTCTGCCAGACAAGCAGAACAGACCTCGACCATCACCGGTTGTGTGCCAAACTTGTCACCGCTCCTTCAGTCGTGTAAGTGACCGGAAGCGACACAAGTGTACAGCTATGCGTGCCCTACCAGTAAGCCAACAGCCAGGAAGCTGTCACTGCGATCAGTGCGACAGATGGTTCCGGAGCAAGGGTGGATTTGCCCGACACAAGTGCTCGCCAGCAACATCACCAGCAGAGGCATCTTCTGACACACTTGAGTCACCAGTTACAAACAATATGTCCTGCGAACGCTGCAGCTTCCACTGCGCCCGCTGCAACCGCTGTGTGCTATCGCGCCAAGGCATGAAACGTCACAAGTGCAGCCGTGGCTCGGCCAGAGCAACCAACACAGACCGTAGCTCCTTCTGCATCGTTTGCAATTGCGGTCGGCGTTTCAGTAGACCACAGGACCTATCCCGTCATCGCCCCTACTGTTCTGAACCTGCTCAACCCCCCATGGGGTCCGCATAGCCAGAATATGGCAGCGCGTCCAAGGTCCAAGGTGTGTGTGTGTGTGTGTGTGTGTGTGTGTGTGTGTGTGTGTGTGTGTGTGTGTGTTTGTGACGTTACAAGTGCGACCGTGGCCATCGAGCAACCAAGTCTGATAGAGCGTCGTATGGTGTTCGCTGTTCTCGCTGCAACCGTCAGTTCCGTCGACAGAGTGACCTGAGTCGTCATCTCCGTTTCTGCTCCTGACAATGACTCTGGCTCCTTTCGGAGTGGTGTGGCCCTTGTGGCAACCAAGCTACAGTAGTAGTAGTAGCAGTAGTAGTAGTAGTGTGTGTGTGTGTGTGTGTGTGTGTGTGTGTGTGTGTGTGTGTGTGTGTGTGTGTGTGTGTGTGTGTGTGTGTGTGTGTGTGTGTGTGTGTGTGTGTGTGTGTGTGTGTGTGTGTGTGTGTGACTTGGAACGACTCAGAGCGTTGGCTCATGGAATGTTCGCTCTGTTGTGGAGAGTGATGGACCAGTTCTAGCGGCAGCCGTGAGAGGAATTGTTTCCGATGATAAGCCAGATCCATAGCTGCTGGAGATGGCTCTCTCGAACGTGGTCCTGCTCGTCGTTCTATATTGTCGGCCCCGTAAGGGGACACGTGACCGTAATGGCAGTGTTTACCAGGACCAGGACCAGGACCAGGTGTGTGTGTGTGTGTGTGTGTGTGTGTGTGTGTGTGTGTGTGTGTGTGTGTGTGTGTGTGTGTGTGTGTGTGTGTGTGTGTGTGTGTGTGTGTGTGTGTGTGTGTGTGTGTGTGTGCATACACATGGCATTTCACTGGATGGACTTTAATAACAGCCTGTGATTAATGTATTCTGCATTCATATACTAGTGCTGTCCTCTGTGTATTTGTTCTGATATTGTGATAAGGCAATTTGAAATCTAGGCTGTGAGTTTTAAAAGGTAGTATTACTCACGGCGGCACTTCCACACAAGCTCAGACCCCTTTCTACAACTTTGTAAATCGTCTGGCATTGGTTGCTGCGTCGCTGGTAAAGAGTTTTTTCTGTGAAGCACACATCACACCTCTGAGTGGTGTTGCTGATAAGAAAGAGAGTGTGAGGTACACAGGCACACACGCGCGCACACACACACACACACACACACACACACACACACACACACACACCACATACACACACACCTCAGACCTCAGACATGCCCATCGCGAAAGCGATGATAGCCAACAGCTATGTTAGACATAGCAACTTGTGCTGGGATTACACCATTCAACAGCTTGCAAGGCTGATGAATTGACCGCGGATACACACACACACACACTTATTGCTCACTGCCAAAACTGGTCACGTGGGTCTCCCCGGGAGAGGGGAGAGAGACTCGAAAGGAATCTTGGAAAGATGATTCAACTGGCGATTGAACCGCCCAACGGCCGACACCCCCTCAAATCCCCAAAACTCTGGGTAGACTTGAAAAAGATCCCACTTATGGGCTCACCACACCTCAGTAAGTGGGTGAGGACAAGGTGCAGCACACACATACACACACACACACACACCACACACACACACACACACACACACACACACACACACACACACACACACACACACACACCACACACACACACACACACACACACACACACACACACACACACACACACCTCAGACCTCAGACATGCCCTTCGCGGAAGCGATGATAGCGAGCAGCTATGTTAGACATAGCAACTTGTGCTGGGATTACACCATTCAACAGCTTGCAACACACACACACACACACACACACACACACACACACGCACACACCTCAGACCTCAGACATGCCCATCGCGGGAGCGATGATAGCGAACAGCTATGTTTTAGACATAGCAACTTGTGCTGGGATTACACCATCCAACAGCTTGCAAGGCTGATGAATTGACCGCCACTATTTTTAGCCTGGTATCCACCACACAGCTGTTTGAAGTGACTTTTTCTGGCCAGTGAATCCCTATTTTTCATTTTTCCATTTTGTTCTTTTTTTTCTTTTTTTCTTTTTCTACACACACACCACACCACATACTCCGGCATACACTGGCTGTTGGTAACCACCCAGGAGAATGAAAGAAAAGTCAGGAAGAGTCTGAGAAAGAGAAGAAAGACGTGTGTGACTATAATCGTCGGGAATCGAACCCGCAACCTATCGATTGGAAATCGCTGCACATACCACTGCACCATATGGGACACACACACACACACACACACACACACACACACACACACACACACACACCATTGGACCATTGGACGCCCATCGCCAGAGGCGATGATAGCGATGCTACAGAAGAAGCCATAGCAGCTTGTGCTGGGATTGCACCATTCAACAGCTTGCCAGGCTGAAGAATTGACCGCCACTATTCAGCCTGGTCTACACCACACAGCTATGAAGTGTCTTTTTCTGGCCAGTGAATCCCTACTTTTGGTCTTTTTCATTTTTTTCTTCATTTTTTCACACACACGCACATCACACCACATACTCCGGCATGCACTGGCTGTTGGTAACCACCCAGGAGAATGAAAGAAAAGTCAGGAGGAGTCTGAGAAAGAGAAGAAAGACGTGTGTGACCGTAATCGTCGGGAATCGAACCCGCAACCTATCGATTGGAAATCGCTGCACATACCACTGCACCATAAGGGACACACACACACACACACACACACACACACACACACACACACACACACACACACACACACACACACATACATCACATCTTTTCGTGGTGTTGCTGATAAAGAGTTTTTTTCTGTGAGGCATACTTGCATCACACCTCTTGGAGGCTGGGCTAAGAAGTAGCATGTTGTTGGTTTGGCAGCATGTAGTAACCTGTATGGATTCTCATCTTGAATTTTATTATTGCACTGATTAGAAGCGTTACCTACATGAAGTTACGACTTGCAGAGCACTCAGGATACGTTACACGAGAAACGGTCACACAAAACAAGAAGCATACTGCAAGGATATGTGGCAGCTGAACTGAAACCGTAAATATGATCAAGTCTTTGAAAACGTTAAACATCAATGCACCGGACGTGGTGACCCTGCTATCGCTAGTCAATTTGAAAATATGTACTGATACAGCCAGGTAAAAAGACAGGCGATCTAAATGCGGTATGCTGCTTGACATTTGCACTTGATCGCCAGTTGTAACGCTACATTGTGATACTGCTAATGGCAGGACTTGTAATTGACATGATCGTATTGGGCGTATGGGACACGTGGCGATGTCAATGGAATAGAATATAGATATTAACCGGATATTAACCGGATAGATATCATGCAATACCAGGACAAGAATTCTTTAAAATGACGTCTTTCATACTTCGAAGTATAATAATAATGTTGTATTGACAGTTGGGACGCATACATTCTACTAGTATCTCCTTATCAAAGAAGATTCTGTCTCTATTATCAAATTGTCTTGACCTAGTTCAATTGCCATGGTTACCGGTAACTAGGAGATAGATTATGTGGACGACTTCATAGTACATGTATAATGGCGTAGATAAATCCCTGATTGAATTGAATTCGGATCACAATGACCAGCAGCGACTTCAGCGACTCTTTCTGCTAGCTGTAATAACAAGAGAGCATAGAGAAAGGAGAAAATTGGCGTCAACTCATGCTAAAGGATCAACTGTCTTTCACTTAGCACCTGGGCTTCACTAACAATAACTCACCCACATGATCTGCAATGCCCTTCAGCCAGTTCAGGTCACGGTTTTCATTCAGTGATATGGTTTGTTAGGGAGAATGAGGTTGAAGACTCCACTGCAGCTGTACATATGGTTGAATCATAATCATAATGATTATGGAAAGAGAAAAGGACCTATACTATAGTACGTTACTAGTTATGCAGCCCACCAAGGTAACCAAGATAACGAGATAATAATTATACAGTCAGATAGTGCGACACTTGAAGGCACACAACTGACAAGGAGATCATGTTGAGACACTCAACGACCTGACACCTAGCTCCAACACTTCTACGAAGCGCAAACCAACAACCTTCCAACTTGGAAGGCGCAAGTGCGGAAAGTTCCAATGAGGGGTCCTTTTCTCTTTCCATATTACTATTGGCTCAACATCCGAGTTTTCATAATGATAATTATGTTGGTAAATACACACCTGGTTTGTTTGGGCTAATTTAATTTACTTCGCACACACTGGGACCAATCACTTACATGAAGAGGATGATGACGATGGCAAAGACTTGGCGTGGAAATCGACGTCACGGTATTTCCCGTTGGACCACGCTGCCATGCCGATCTTCTTGATTCGTCGCCGCGTGTTAGCAAACCACATGGCTACTTGCTCGCCGGACATACGTGCCTGTGCAGCTAGTATATCCCGGTCCGTTTTGCTGGGATACGGGTTCTGGCAGTTTCGATATAGCCACTCTCGCAATGGCTGTGTTCTCTGGCGATTGTGTTGCAAGGGAGACATGTTTCCCTCGAATTGGTGAATCCTACAGTGGCCAAAAAAGGAAAACACACGCAACAAATACGAGAGACATATTGCGCTTTGGCTGCCCGAGTCTCCACACATGTGCAGTCAACTTCGCTTATAACGACACTCGGCGGGGCATCAAAAAAGTGTCCTTATTCGCAAAGTGTCGTTATACCCGAAGTCTCAGTACATGTATACATGTAGTATGGACTTTGCTCTGGGCATGGAAATTCTGTCGTTATTCGCGAATTGTCGTTATATCCGCAGTCGTTATAAGCGAAGTTGACTGTACATCCACTAACGTTTTAACTATTGTTGCATGGAATACTCAAAACTACAATTTACAGACTTCCACTGCAAAATGAGCGTACAACTGGCGAGCCAAAGGGAGAAATAGTCCTCGAAATGGTTATTCTACGAGAAACGTTCACTGCAGCAGTGCTTATGACACGGAACGAATACACCAGAACATTATCAACTGCTCTATGTTTTGTCCAATCCGTACAGTATAAATACAGTATAATTGTATCCTGATGCCGCACATACACTGACTAGGTATAGTGAAGTGGCTGGTGGCCAATTACCTGTCGACATTGTAGGCAACGAACTGGAGCGATGGCGGACTGCCGGGAGTGGCATAGCTAGAGTAGGAACTGCAGTTGCTACCTCCCTGAGAGTAGTAGGGCGGGTTCATAGGCGATGGTGGTGATATGCGACAAACCTGTCACAATGCATGCAAGCAAAGAAGAGCTTGATGAGTTCTACTCACATTCCCTGGATCACTGAGACAGTGACAGATGTCATTGCAAGGTTCACCCTTACACCTGACACAGTGTATTGTTCCAAGGAATTCTAGTGAAACCGGCATTACACGTAACCGTTCCTGGCCATACGCTTGTGCATAGAGGAGGTGTCATTGGGGTAGACCGTGTAGTTCGGTTACAGCACATAGCTATATATAGGGTCACGTTGAAATGTGAGCACACTGCTCAGCTCCCTGGCGGTCTTGAAGGAGAGAAGTCTCAGTCATACTCAGCGCAACATGTACATGTACATGTACGTGCATCTACGTTATGGCAAACTCGGATCAAGTCTTTCCTGACAGTTTTTGAAATCGTGATACAGTAGCCGACAAAGAACTGGCAGCACCAGGGCCAGGGGCACCACAAGATGGCATAGGGTGTAGGCAGATCGTATGGCTGGCAAATGGTTAGCAGATTGTGTGCCGGCTAGCCATATGTTACTGTCTGCAATGGATGGTCAAGTGCAGTGTGGCGCGTTTATCATGTCTCCCACATTATACAGTGTAGTCACAGTACAAGACATGAATCATGCAGCACCTGCACACATGTCTTTAGTCAACTATTATTGCTAAGAACATCAATGCATTAAAAAAAACAGAGAGAAGAGAGAGAGAGAGAGAGAGAGAGAGAGAGAGAGAGAGAGAGAGAGAGAGAGAGAGAGAGAGAGAGAGAGAGAGAGAGAGAGAGAGAGAGAGAGAGAGAGAGAGAGAGAGAGAGAGAGAGAGAGAGAGAGAGAGAGAGAGAGAGAGAGAGAGAGAGAGAGAGAGAGAGAGAGAGAGAGAGAGAGAGAGAGAGAGAGAGAGAGAGAGAGAGAGAGAGAGAGAGAGAGAGAGAGAGAGAGAGAGAGAGAGAGAGATGGATATAATTATACAGAGAGAAATTTACTGTACATGTATCACCATCGTTTCCATTGTGCTGTGTCACAGTGTGTGGTTCGTCTGAAATCAACACTTTGTTTAAGTTTATGGGTCACTCTCGTGAAGGCAATATTCCATGCAATCTTGCACTTTACAGTCAAGAGTACCTT